GAATGGTTGTCAAGTAAACCCGTCTCTATAGAGAGACAATGGCTAACATACTTTTTTTTTTCTTTCTTTGCCTTTTTGACATGAGAAAGCCATTTATTGTGACACAATTAACTGTTTTCCGCTAAAATATTCTGAACGCCAAAGCAAAGCCACTTTTGCCCGAAACTAGCTCCAAACGCCATGCAAGAGCATCCAAATGCCATGCTCGTATTGTGCCCCCAATGCTCTTCTCTAATTGCCTTTGTTTTAAGAGTCGACTGCCATGGTATCGTCGCCATCCAGAGCCTCACCTTGGTGCTCCAAGGGAACACCACGTCCTCGTCCCGCCAGCAGTTCTCGTCGCACTTCCGGACCAATGGCAGAATGGCCATGGCCTAGGAGCAAATCAAGAAGTGCTTCACGTTGGTCTTCGGTAATATCGCCCTTGTATCTTTGGGCGAATGCTAGTAGACTTTGGTGCCAGATAACAGGCAATTTCGTCTTGACGTCTCCCTCACCGGACACCCCGGCCATGGCATCGCCTTCCTGGACGCTGGCAGGGTCCTCGCTACGAAATCGAAGAAAATGAAATACCAGAGCGTCAATGACCTGGTATGGCAGAGCATACTTCTTCTCCAACAGTGTCCTGATGAAGATATTGGTAGCACCACCACCCTCGCTTCCCTGGGAAGCTTCTTGGGCGGCGATCTCGCAAAGACCCTTGAGAGCTGCAGCAGAATGCAAAACTGGGACAGAGACTCTAGCAAGTACAGCGGAGATGATGTGGGCTTCTCTCAGGGTGCAGGTACCACTGCCAATAAGTGGGAAGAGAAATCCCTTGAAAAAAGCAGAAGGCTTGTACAGTGCCTTCTTGAGAGAGTTGAACAAATGAACATTCAACTTCTTGTTTTCGTAAATGTCTTCGCGGACTTTTTCCAAGACCACCATTTCGAGGAATCGCTGCACGACAATTGGCTTATGTGAAACAAAGATTCGGGTTGCCTGGAAGCAAGCATTTGGTGTCCAACGGTCTGGTCGGGTAATTTCGAGAATTTCCTCCCAGTGGGGAATAGTTGGGAGAATTTTGAATGGCTTCGGCAATGGGCCAGACTTGTAGCGCGATAAGATCTCTCCGATTCTACAGTTGCGGTCAGCACCGTCTCTCCTGGTCTTTTCACGACGGATACTCACTTGGTGTAAACCTCAACTACTTTAGGAGGTAGTTCATAGTCGTCAACTGGCACGCCGGCATCCTTTCTGGCTTCAGCAGCCTCGTGTGCTGCGATTTTTTGCAGAATAATATCTGCCAAGTTGCGGCTTTCGCCTTCAACTGCGTCGCCCGAGGGCTTGAGGTCCCAACCATGCTTCAATAAATCGTCCTCGTCGTCAGGCATGAACTTCTTGTACATTTCAAGATCTTCAGGGTCGACTTCAATCTCCTCCACAGCCTCGTCATCATCACCCCAGGCTTCGTCGTCGTCATATGTCTTGCCTTCCTCACCATCATGGTTGTCGTCGAATCGAGAGTCGTACCCGAAAGAGTCGATGGTTGGCTCGGGAGCAAAAGAGGCTCTCTCGGAATTTTCTTCCTCAGCTAACTCACGACCTATCCTCAGGATGTTCTTTGAGGCTTTGGAATCGACAAAACTTTCATCGGCATCCTCACTGTTCTTTGACTTCTTTTTGGTGGGCTTATTCCGCAAGAGACCAGTGGCGAGAATATCGTTCTCGAGAGGGTTATGGCGACGGGCCGGCCGGTCAGCCTTGGGAGTAGTAGCCTTGGGCATTTCGGGCGTATTTTTTGGTGATGAAGGCACAGACGACGACAAATGCCCAAGAAGACTATGACTTGCGCCAGTTTCGCGGGCTCTCACTCTATGGTGGCATGCGGGCGGTGGGATGGAAAATCGAAAATTTGTGCCTTATCGATCTGCCGCCCCTCAATCCTAACTTGGTTTAGCGCAGAGATGGTTGACCGCAGAAAATTCTCACCGCCCTCGGATGTTAGTACTTCTGACATTCCTATTTCGGACGATGAACCATCTTGTTTAAATTCTAACATTAGTGGAAATATTATCGGAGAGACTCAGAATTGATTTTATTATCTGTGTTTCAACCTTGCCCGTGTCTTATCGCTGAAAGGCCGCGCCGTCACCCAAATCAACTACATAGTACCGTACCTAGTAAGGTACGGAAGGGCCGGGGTATGGAATAGGAATTGCGACATAGTGGCAATGCGGAAGGATGAAATTTTGTAGCCATAGCCTGCAGTATTTTTGCTCATTGGAAATGGGCCTGATGAATGTGTCCAATCGCCATCATGTTGATATGACGTTTGAAGATTGGACCCCTGGCGATGACGCTGAAGCCCCCATGAGGCTCTGATAAACCCCCACTATCAAAAACTGCCCCTCCAAAACTTTGAAATTCATTGAGCAGTTACTCGTGCCACGCCCCACATTAGGTTGTTCAGCTAGCAAAGCCCTCACCACCTAAGGTGGTGCTTAACACCAAGGCGGGCCACTTAGCAAGCCGGGCTACTTTCTAATTTATAACGCGTTTACCCGCGAAAATAGCTGTAATAAGTGTCTAAAATATAAAAAGCGAAGTGGAATTACGTGTTATTAAGGCTCTTTAATTTATTAACGAAAATCTAGGTGTAAAACTTCGCGCTATAGCCCGAAAATTTAACGTGCCTCATAGCAGGCTTTAACGATAGATTAACGGCGTTATTACTAGGGAAGGCTATCTAGCAGCTAATATAAGGCTTTTAAGAGAAGAAGAAGTTGCTTTATGTAACTATATTAATCGCCTTAATAATGCGAATTTCGCTATACGAGTTAAATTTATTACGAATATTATAAATTACATTTTAAAAGAGAGATTATCGCTAATAGCCTCGCCTAAGCCTCTTAAAAAGCTTTAAACCACCCGCTTTATTAAGTGGTATAAATATAATAAATGCCTTTAAAGAAAGCTTAATATAAATTAAAAGGCCTTAAAAGATACTAAAAGGATTCTTACTTATTTTAACACCTTAAAAGCTATTATTAAGAAGTACGAAATCCCTTCTTATAATATTTAGAATATAAATAAGACTAGCTTTCGTATTAGCATTAAAAAATATAAGCTTATTATTACGAAGCGAAAAAGGGCATATCTTTTCGTAATACCTAAAAATCGCGAGTTAATAATAGTAATAGAAGGGGTCTCTACTACCAGCCTTTTTATTCCTGCCTTTCTTATTCTTTTAGGGTAAAAACACATGTAATCTTAGTATAAATTAAAGGAACTTAAAGCAAATACGAAGATTACGGTCTTATTATTAGGTTATTTTAATAACGAGATTAACCTCGCTTAAATATAGTATTTTAACGAGTTTTTAAAGCCTATTAGCAATTATCACCTTTTAATCCTAAATAGCTATGAATTACATTACACATTTAAATTCATTAAATACTACGAAAAACACAAGATAATTCCCTTTATAATACCTTTAAACCTTACATATATCCTTTAACCTCTTAATATTATAGTATTTTAGCTATTAAAGCATTATTATACACAGGTATTAGATATTATAGTTTATAATAGCCTTATAAATATTACAAAGATTAAATTTCTTAGCTGTATTTAAGATATACGAAAAAAGGCTTTTAAGACCTCTACTATTTTATTAGCTTTTTAAAAAACGGGAATTTCGCCTTATAACCTATAACCGATTATTTAAGCCCTTAAAGATTAAGAGGCTATTTACACGCCCTTACCACTACTAGCCTTATATTACGGATCTTTTAATTTTAAGACCCCTATAACCCTTAGGTAAATAAATAAGATTATTAATAAGCTAGGGGATATATTAGAGTATAATATATCCCTTAACTTGGAACTTACATATAATATTAGTAGATTGATTCGTGGGTCTCTTATTATAGCTACTAAGCTTATATAAATAAAAAGAGACCTTAAGCGTATTAAAGCAGCTTAATTATTATTATAAAAACGTAAAGCTATAAAAGATCGCTTACTATAATCTAATAGCGTGCTTTTTATTACTAATAGCCGTAAAATAATTAAGTAAAAAACTAATAATAGCGTCCGTTAAGCCCGTTAAGTTATTAAGGCTATTAAAAAAAACACTATAACTTAACTAAAAAGGCGTTTTTTAAAGCTATAAAAGAGGCACGTAAATAGCATTAAACTTTTATACTAGATTCACTAGAAATTTGGGACGAAAAGGGTGTACATTATGCGCGAAGAGGTTAATTGAGTTATTAGGTCAAAAATTAGCCCGGCTTGCTCAGTGGCCCGCCTTAGTGTTAAGCACCACCTTAGGTGGGGAGGGCTTTGCTAGCTGAACAACCTAATGTGGGGCGTGGCACGAGTAATCGATCAATGTCTAGTCGCTGAGCATCCTCACTGTGACACTCGCACACAACACTGAACACCTGAAACCGAAAAGATGCCCACAGAACTGGAAGAGGTGCGCTACAATTCCTCACTCGGTTGAATCATATATTGGAATTTTTTTTTTTTTTTATATATAAAAAAAATCCTGACCTGGCTTCTTGTAACAGCTTGTGGGCTTCATTGCCCATCCCAACCCACAGATTCGACTGGCGGCCACGGAGAATCTAGTGCCATACTCAACATCGGAGCCTGCAATATTTAAAGTAGAAGATATAAAACCTATCAAAAACTTGAAGCTTTTGATTCGGGATCATCCTGTATGCTGCGACCGGAAACCCTGACCAGCTGCATGAGTTCAGGTGAAAATCAACCAAGGAAACTAACCTTTTGTGTAGAAAATTGCCGAACATGTTCTGACCATGTTGATCAACCTTTCAGGAGACCCTGAGGTTCTGGAGGAATTGGCAAACGATGACAAGTTCACTGGTGTGGTATTAGACCACTTAGTTGTACGTATCATCCCCAGGTCCAACGCAGCCGTCACAACCTCCAACTCATCTAACCACCTCGGTGCTTAGGGCCAAGGGGAGCCCAACGCCAACTTACTAGCCATGCTCCTCGCCAATCTAGCCAAGCTTGACGGTTTCGAAACCATATTGGAAAGGAAACAAACCGCCCCCTCGGCTCTCGGCTCCGACGACTCCATCATGAACCAGCTCATGGACCTCTTCGTCAAGGGCCAGGACGGCGCATACAACAAGAAAGCCGACTTTGACTACCTAGCATATGTATTCGCTGATTTGTCCAAACACGAGCAAGTCCGAAAATATTTCCTCACGGAGCAGAAGTACGACGGGGTCATCCCCCTCACTAAGATTAGAGTCTTCACAGAGCACAAATCAGACGTCAGACGGAAAGGGGTAGCGAGTACCATCAAAAACGTCGCTTTTGACATCGACTCGCACCCTATGTTTCTAGACGAGGATGGCATTAATCTCTTACCCTATGTGTTGCTCCCTATTACCGGAAATGAAGAGTACGAGGTGGAGGATACGATGGAGATGCTGCCGGATCTGCAGCTGTTGTCGCCGGACAAAAAGAGAGACTCGGACAGGAATAATATCCAGACGCATATTGAGACGTTGACGCTGTTGACGACGACGAGAGAAGGCAGGGAACTGATGAGGAGAGTGAAGGTGTACCCGATTATCAGAGAGACGCATTTACGGGTGGATGATGAGGGCGTCAGAGAGGCTTGCGAGCGGTTGGTGCAGGTTTTGATGAGGGACGAGGAAGGGGAAGGGGAAGAGGGCGGTGCAAGTAGTAGCGTACAGGAGGTTGATGAGGATGACGAGATTGTTGAAGTGTAATGGAGACGTAGCGCATTCAGGTGTGGCCTTGTATGGGGCATTTTACTTCAGGCATGATTGCACTGGCAGGAATAAGTCATAGTCAAATTAAAAAGCTACTCTGAAACAATACATAAAAACGAAGTCAGCGCAAGATAGGATATTAATCGTCGTGTCACGTTGCAAAATCACTCTAAACTAACACAAACCAGAAGTTAGACTCCACTGTTAATTCAGCACTGGCTGGGAAAATGTCCGTCTTCAGACTCTCCAGACATAGTCCGATCCAGGGGGCTCATTATCGCCGTTGCAGACATATAATCGCCACCAAACCTCTCATTTGCTGAGGTTGGAGACACGGGCATGTCGGGCCGAGAGCGCTCTTCAGGAGAGACCATTGGAGGGTCTTGATTTTTGGAAGGATCAGAAGCGCTGGAGAGGTTAGGTATTTCCAATCTCGGAGGGGATTGAGACCATGTGCCCAGCAAAGGCGACTCAGTCCATTCCCTCTCGCCGTCGTGCGTATTGGAAGCGGCACTCGGGCTCCCCAGTCCCGATTGTACATTGTACTGGGAAGAGATCCCTTCGAAACCGTAGGGACCAAATTGTTTTTGGAATGTGCTCATTGGTGTGAACCCAGTGTCGTGTAGCTCTGCAGGTGAAGATGTATCTATGAGAAGGAGTTAGTCGTGATATCCCTTAGAGGGGCAGAATGCTATGTAAACCCCAACTTACCGCACAACTTAGATACTTGAGTGTCTTCCATCTCCTGGGGTACGGTACCTGCTTTATCCGTCGCCATCGGCTCGAAGGTGGAATTCTCTTCGAGATCGGGAGAAGTTCCGGTTTCAGGCTTTTGGGGGGATTCCGTCATCATCGATCTTTTGGCCGCTCCGGGTCCTCTAACCACCCACGTCATGATATTCAACCCGCTCTCATCCGCCGTCGAGTCCGTTGATGAAACAGCGGTAGATTTCTTTCTCCTGGCACAGCAATACCACAATGCTATACCAAGTCCGATGGAGATAATGATGGGCACAAGAACTGCGGGAAGAATGATTTGAAGCAAGTGGTTATCGGGCTGAAAGACAGGCTGCTCTGGAGGAGATGTTGTAGCACCAGGTGGCGGCGGCGGCGATGACACGGAGTCATACGGCCAGTATTGTTTGAGCTTTTTCGTGTCATATGCTACTGAGAAGACAGCCCCTAGCTCTTTTGAAGCCCACCCTGAGGGCACAGGCGATGAGACAGTTGCTCCTCCAGATATGGTTCCGCCTACAGCAGCAATGATCTTTTCGTGTACACCGTAATTGCTATATTTTGTTGGTGAGTAACCGTCCAGCCATTTCCCACTAGTCAAGTTGAAAACAACCACAGGACCCTGATCTAGACATGAGAATGACGATCCACTCTTAGGTGTGTATCCTCCGAAAACCATCATTTGGTCTGGATATGGCTTGAAACACTTGTGTCCCGAGCGACCGTGGACGGGAACTCCCTTGTTTAGTAAGGTCCAAGAGAATGACGGTAGTGACAGAACCCAAACCTCATCAGAGAAATCGTTCTTTGGGTGTATTCCGTCATAACCACCGTAATAGTATATGTTGAAGCTAGACGTGTCTGATGCTGGCGCTACGACGGCACAACCTCGCGTCCTTGCCCCTGGACCACCCTCTGTTGGCTGTTGGTACCATTTTTTGTTGGCAATGTCGTAAATGTCGATCGTACGCATAAATTCTGGGCTTTTAAGCTTCTTCTACAATGTTAACACGCGCAATCCAAGGCAAAACAACGACCTTGACAAAACGACCTACTTACACTCTCTGTCTCATTCGCTGATTCGAATACTCCGGATGCCCAGTCCGGATACACAACTCCACCCAAAACGACCAGAATGCCTTGCTTCCCAACTGGTACCCAGACGACTTCGGGGTTTGCTCTTGGCTTAATGTTATCAGGAAGAGTTGTGTTGGTCCACTTCTCGAAAAGCTGGTCCGTCATGTCCAGCTCAATAAGCGTGTTAGAGGGATTCATGGCGAGTGTTGTATTATTCGCTTTAGTCACAACACTAATTGGCCCTCTGCTTGGAGACGTGAGGCCAGAGAAATACCATGCTTTGTTCTCTGATGGTGCACTAACTGGCCCTCCGTAGGCAATATACCTGGTTACTCCGTCATCCAGATGCCCACTGTTGAATCCGCTTTGCCATAGAGGTTTTTCTGGGCCATATGCATATTTGCGATAAGCAAGCACTGCGTTTGCGGCAGGCTCGGCGTACGAAGCGAGAGTATCAATTGTCAAGGCTCCCCCATAAAGAAAGAATTCGGCATCGTTAGCCAGCATGCCACCATCGTCGTAGCCTGGTTCTGAGCTGATGCCACTTTGCGTCCCGCCTATTGCTTTGGACATGCGCTTGTTTAAAAGGATTTCGGTGACATTTGCGCCCTTTGTAAAGGATTCAGAGAGATTGTATGACAGGACGTATCCTTGGAGATTGCCTTTTGTATGTCAGTTGGAACTATCTTGTCAATGGAATTATAAAGAACTTGCCTTGGTTGAGGTGCGGACCAAACTTTCCTGAGGCAAGTCCGGGATTCCACCAGATAGTTCCGCCATCGAGATAGACGGTATCGCGAATTAGCGCAGCTGCATGGGGTCGAAGTATGAGCGGAGACATCATGACAAGAGACGACTTGACAAACGTGACATACCTCGGGGCTGCGACCATGTACAAATGCTAGTGTTGACTTGGTCGCTTAGCCAGTTACTAAACTGCGCGTTGGAACAAGACGCGAGTCCTATACATGTCGCCAGTTGGGCCTTTGGGCTGATTTTCATTTTGTTGAATTGTTGGAGCTGCGATGATGGATGGAAACCATTGAAAATTGCTTGGTGATCCGCCACAGTTCACAATGGTCTCAGTATTGTAATTACTCTCTAGTAGTTACTCCGTACTCGGTAGCGCGTGAGGTTATTATGTCGTGTCACCATGACCCATGCTTTGTGTTGATAGGATACAGCCCACCGGCAAATATTCTCCAAATGTCTTCCCAAAAGGTTGTATGTGGGTTGCAGTCCGGAACAACGACTAAGTGCAGTTCGACAAGCTGAATGTATGTCTCGAGGACAAATGAAAGCTGGAGCTGGGTCTGTGAGGCTGATAGCGGTGAAGACGAAGATGTCTGCGATACTCCACGACTAACAGGCGATTGATTCTGGTCTTGTCATACACAGGCCTTTTGCCACCAATGAGAAGGACACTGCGTCAGAAGAAGCATACCGACGATGCCAGCCTGTACTCACCTTTCAATTGCAATGCTCTCCCAGTCGGCCTGCCCGTCTTCCGACTGACTTTACACAAATGCTGTATAACCACGGCTTGGACCGACTACATGTACTCTCCACGGAGGGCTCGTACCACATGGGCGTATGACCAGACCAGACCTGGCCAGACCAGACCATGTTTGCTGCCAAGACAGGAATATATTGACCTTGTCCTACAAGAGTCCCTCGAGTCCCTCGACCATGGCCAGGGCACAGTGGCACCGTCTCCCCTCCTCCCTCCTCACACGTTGGGCGCAGGCCCAAGCCCTCGACCCAAGCTCTCGAGACACGAGGCGGCGGGGATCATGACAAGGCAACGAATGTGAGGAGGAGGCGTGGTGAAAGTACCCAGGTAGCAGTCGGTGTTTTGGGGGGACGAAGCTACCGAGTAGGCGTACGTGTGTTTGTGGAGGGAAGACAAGGGTCCAGAAATGGACAATAGCAGTTCCTGAATAGAAGGGCTCAAACCGGACGGCCGGGGTCAAGCAAGAGGGGAACCCAGACCAGTGGCCGACCCCAGCTCTATCAAAAGGCGACGAGATGAACCGGATTGACACTGATCTCGGAGATATACTTGCATGCACGGAGTACCAAAAGGGCTGCACTGTGCAGTAGCGAGCGGGACATGGGAGAACAAAAAAGATGGCGGGAAATTTCAAATCAAGACTGCGTGGTGAATGCATGGCAATCGATGTCTCACTCTGGAGGGCGGAGTACGCAGAGTACGGAGGACAGTCCCATCGTGCCTTCTCACCTTCCTGCTCATCCATCTTCCCCTCCTTGGACCTTGAACCTTGGGCATGGGTGAACGAGGCTGCGACACAAAACTACCGCGTATTTTTGCAAGCAAACGCTCTGAATCCGGCACTTGGTGCGGGCACGCCTCTTTATTTGATGCCATGTTGTCTAGACTCCGGCATGTGCGACTTCATGGCTGTCTGAGTAATACGAGCTGACAGGTAGAATCTTTGAACGGGATGTAGCCGCGATGCAATCGTGATGCACGAGAGAGGCAAGACCAAGCTTCGGCCAGCCGATACAGGAGTTCTGATATTCGCTCAGACCACTCCGATCACTTCGTCCACTGAGACCCCAGGGTGGTCCTTGGATGCATCCCGTCATTTTTGACCAGACGAAAGCACTGGCACAAACACAACCAACAAGGCTGCCACCGTAACCCAAAGACTTCGACTCTGCATGTACGCAGAGTATAGTACATAGTACTTGGGTGCAGACACCGCAGCGGCCCGATTATGGTCGCAGCAGTGCATACATACCTACCTTCCCACCTAGTTGGCTTTACTTTTCCTGCGTCTTCCATACATACATATCAAGATGGCCGGAGAAAAGGTTACAGAGCCAAAGAACGAGGGATTATGGACTCGAACAAGTCTCGCCTACCCTCTCGACAGCCACTGCCGCATCGCACGAGCAGCATATATTTTTCCAGAAACCAATTACGCTAAAGACAAAAGGAAAACAAAAAATAGTTCCTCTGTCCCCACGAGGCTTCCCCTTACACACCTAGACATGTGGAATTTCGGTAAAAGATGCAGGTTCTGTTTCCTTGCATTGGGGAGAGTATCCCTAGCGGATTACACAGGCAGCGAGATGCCATGCCATGGGATGGACCCAGAGCCTCTCTTTGTGCTTCTCAGGCCCAAGCCCAATCGCCAGACACCGGCTTCTCTCCGCAAGCAAGGCCTCAGTCTTTTGCGTCGTGCGGAGTACTTTGGGGCGTCGTGCGAATGCATGCAAGATAATGGAGCCAGCAGCTCCTCTTCCCGTCAGCCTCAGTCGTCCGGGGGCCTCGTCTCTGGAAACCCGGACGACTTGGCAAGCATCCAAGGCCAGATTCTGGCCCGTGCAGGGAACGAGCTTGGTGTACTGAGTACAGAGTACTAGTTACATGGAAAATTGCTCGATTCGTCGCCGTTGCTTGTGGAGAGATGCATGTGCTTACGATTGGATTGCCTTGGGGAAATACCGTTTGTAACACCTAGCGATTGCTTCGGGCGTGGTTCATGCTAGACCTGTCGCCCTTGACTTTGAGGGTTTGGTTATTAGTAGCAGACTGATCTGTGTGTTTTTCAAATTGTTTTCCTCCCCATCTGAGCTCTCCTTCCCCATTGTTTGAGATCTTGTTGGTCCTCAATTGCTTGCGAGAGTCTCACAATTGCCACCAAACACATCAGATTTTATCACAATCAGATTACTTTACTTTTCAGTATCAACCAGTTCAGTTTGCTTGGAGCCCAACCTATTCTTGTCGATACCTGATACCAATCCCACTGCCAAAGGCAGCAGTCGCGGACAACCACTTTGACCGCCAGGCCAAATAGTCACTGGGAATCTCTACTTCATAAAACCCTTTTGTTTCAGGCCTACCTACATTTGTGTGTGGGGTCAGTGTTTTTATTTGGGAGGGTAGAAGAGCCAGAGGGTCGTCACTCGTTTGTCCATTCGTTTTAGGCACATTGTCGAAGTTGGGAAGCTACATTCGTTATCTGGGCGAAGGCCATAGTTCACGCAAGATGCGTCTTGCCAGCTCACTTGGGCTTTTTACAAGCCTTGTTGCTGCAGTCCCCGGACTGGATGTCGGGGCCGGCGGTGAAGCATTACTTACGGTTGATCTAAGCCTGTTTCCAGACTCCGTTCTGGCCGCCCGGTGTGATGAGTGTTGCCCAACGACAATTAGAACAATCATCTCGAAAATTTAGTGAGTGGCACTTGCTAGTATCGTAGTTATGTGTTTGCTAACGATGGAAAAGTACCACAATTTATAGCGAAAAAACGGTCAGCCTTGTGTGCTTTCAATTGAGAAAATGGGTTGAGTGGCCGATGCTGACATGAGAGACAGATATATACTACCGCAACACAACATGACGTTTCTACCAAGGTGCAATACACAACCAAATACGTTACTACAACAGCCCTCTCGACTTACACAAGGGTATGGATCAGACCGTCGACAAGAACAAAGGGATATCTGCTAACATGGCTCAAGTCATATCCTGTGACCGTAACTAAAACCATTGAGTAAGTGCAACGTCTTCGAAGACCAAGGATTTATTTAATCCGGGTACTGGCTATAGCACGATCACTAACTTGGTGGCGCAGTTGTGACCCTCCCTACAAAAGCGGTTATGAATCAACTGGGGGCGCACACACTGCACAGGTCCCAAAACTCAAGGGACGGACGTACGGCTGTAGGACAACAACGGTAACTTCCTGGGCTACGACCACGGCTACGAAGACAGTTACTGGTATTGAGTCCATTGTGACCACGAAAACGGTCCCGCAGGAGACAACCATTCACGACACCCATACTATCGTGGACTCGACTACAATATGGGTGCCCACAACTTACACGGAGACCAAAACGCTCGTTAGCGAGCATCCGGTCACTCTAACTGTCGACAACACCAAGTACACTACGAAATCCACCACCATAGTTACAACGTTTGTGTCGACAGTGACGACAAGCTTCCCTGTTGTGACCACGCTCACACTACCAGCTCAAACTATAACGGCCCCCGGCCAGACAATAACTGCTCCCGGCCAGACAATAACCGCTCCTGGCCAGACCGTAACGGCTCCCGGCCAGACCGTAACGGCTCCCGGCCAGACCGTAACGGCCTCCCGCCCCGCTGGCTCTCAAACTCTCGCAGGACCAACAGTCACGGCTCCCGGTCCGACAAGCACAATTACTCTTCCCGGCGTTACCAAAACCTTGCCAGCCAGCACAATTGTGACAACACAGATAAAGACGTTACCCCCGTCGACGATCCACGTTACCGACGAGCAAGAAACAAGGACAATCACTCGGCCAGGATACACCGTAATAGAGACCAGCACACTTACCCTACCTCCCACAACAATCGAAAAGCCAGCCCCTGGCCAGACCGCAACGGCTCCCGGCCAGACCGTAACGGCTCCCGGCCACGATGTAACTCAAACTCTCGCAGGACCAACAGTCACGGCTCCCGGTCCGACAAGCACAATTACTCTTCCCGGCGTTACCAAAACCTTGCCAGCCAGCACAATTGTGACAACACAGATAAAGACGTTACCCCCGTCGACGATCCACGTTACCGACGAGCAAGAAACAAGGACAATCACTCGGCCAGGATACACCGTAATAGAGACCAGCACACTTACCCTACCTCCCACAACAATCGAAAAGCCAGCCACTACTGTCACCGTGACCCCCATGTTCGACGTCAGCCTTTGCCCGACTCCCACAGGAGTCTCAGCACCGTTGGACGCAAAGTCGGACCGTACATTTGGTTGCGAACCTGGCTATGTCTGCAACCCTCCTAAGCCAAATGGATGCAATCTGTGGCCCAACCCTCCATCCGACAATTTCCTTTGCGATCCAAATGACTGTATTCCCTCGCCGCCTTTTACAAAGGTCGTATGGCAAGGATGCGAAACTAGCTATTACCCACCTTCGTATGGCTACTTCAACCTTAATCCCGAAGCATTCGGTCTTTCGTACGACATCTTCGAATTTAAAGTCATCAACGAGACCATCAATGGACACCCTTCCCTGATCACAACAGGGAACTGGGGTTCGCAATCCTCGCTGACTGCCTGGCCTAAACCATCCCCGCCGGCCTTGCATGGCCCAATGCGCAAGCGTATCAAGGACCACAAAACCTGTCACAAGTCCAAGAGAGATGGTATTGTCCCCTCCATATGTTATGATGTTTGCAATACCGCCTACCTCATTGCTTCAAGTACCGGCAAAAGCGACAAGCTCTGTGAAAGCACTTCTCCTTTCAGGGATGCCTACGACTCCTGCAGCAATTGTATCCAGCACAATTCCAACAACAACTCAACCTCTACTGGAGACGAACAAAAGCAGCCATTTGAGCAGTATCTCAATTTCTGTAGTGGCACAAAGGCTGGGAAGCCCCCAACTACTTCACACACAACTCCCGAGCAGCTTGTTACCCAGCAGCCTACTCTTGGAACCAGCACGCAAGTTGATGTAAGCCATCCGACGTTTACGCCAATTCCGTCCAGTGAGAGCATCAGCTCATCTGCTCCGTCAACATCGAGCCCTGCCAGTTCCGTGGGCTCTACCTCAGCCAGCGATGCATCTTCATCGCGGACTACGCACTCGGCTCCCCCATCTTCCGGACACAGTTCGCCCATCTCTACACCTCTGGGATCTTCTGCAGGTGGAAGCTCTAGTGCTCAGAAACCTAGAACTTCCACTAGTGGAGAGACGCACTCGCCCACTGCCACTCAAAGCCCTGCCGTTAGTACTGCCGGCGGCAGCAGTAGCAGCTCAAGTAGGCTCAGCAACACTAGCGTCGAAAGCGGTCCTGGATTCGCCTCCGCCTCCGCCTCCGCCTCTGCATCTGCCTCTGCATCTGCATCTACCTCCGCCCCAGCCTTTACCACTGGCCCCAGTTCGAAGATTGACCACGGTAGTGGTACAGGCCCAGGCTCAAGCGAAAGCACCAGCAGTGCCAATACTGGCAACGGCGCAAGCGATCAACCCGGCACCACGACAGAAAATGTCCCTGGAAATCCCCTAACGTCGACGCCAACCGTCGTTACAGCCGCTGCCTCTCACCTTTCAAGCCTCCTCTACTCTGCTGGAGCAATTCTTGTTTCATCAGTACTTATCATAATGTGCTAAGCGAAAATGTGGACGTAATACCTATAACTTTCTCACACTCTTTTTGAATTATCAATTTTGGTAATGGATGTATTTAATGTGGTGGTCTCTGGACATAAGAGAATGCAAACTCGGGCGCTGTTGGAAGACATAGGATACCTTTCTTGAAAATTTGACAGTGTTTGATGTCACAGAAACTGTATTATCACGAGGCAGTTTCTTAATATATATTCGTCTAGCATGCATGGGATATGGCTTCTCGCGTGCTTACAGATCCATTACTATGCCTGAATTAGTCTCCTCGAGTCCAGCATCACGCTAGACCGAGTTCCTGGTAGAAAGCCTCGGTATTGGGTTCCCTGCCCAGAAAGTCCTTCAAGGTCTGTAGCTCTTCCTGGCTGCCGCCACGGCCTAGAACTAGTTTACGGTATCTACGACCTTCCTTGCCATCCATGGGGTCCTTCTTAAAGAATGAGTGGAACATGTCGAGGGAGAACACCTGCGAGTACAGGTAGCCGTAATATCCGGCATCGTATCCGCCTGTGTAATGCCCGATAGTGGCGAATCGATTGCCCCATTCACTACGAGATAAAATGTCAGCAACTTGTAATTTCATCCCAAGTGTGTGCTTTGGCACGGATACGTACAGTCCTTTTCCCTGGGCCTCGGGACCTTTGATTCCAGTAATGTTACGGCGGAACTCATTCCAGACCCTGGCGATGGGCATATTCTTGGCCTCTTCGTGAGACTTGGGAGTATGCACGGTCATGTCGAAGAGACCGTAGAGTAATTGGGTAAGGTTGGAGGTGGCAGAGTTGAAGTGTTTGGTCTTGATCAACTTCTCAATCATGTCGTCGGGGATCTTCTCGTTTGTGTCCCATCGGCGAGAGAGGAACTTCAGGACACTGGGTGTCCAGCACCAGTTCTCTAGCATCTGACTGGGAGCTTCGACAAAGTCACCGGCAACACTGGTGCCATGGAAGTAGCTGTATTTGGTGCGAGCAGCTAGGTCGTGGATGCCGTGGCCGAGCTCGTGGAAGAGAGTGACCACCTCATGGTGCTTCAGAAGACCAGGCTTAGTCGCACTAGGCTTGCTGAAATTGCACACCAGGGCGGTCGCAGGGTAGTTGCGAGTTCCGTCCTTGTTGAGGTAGCCAGGCTCGATGTTGAAGTTGGCATTGTGACCGTACTTGTTATCTCTGGGGTGGAGATCCAAGTACAAGTATCCGCAGAATCCACTGCCAGCAGCCTCATCGTCCCAGACAGAATAGACAATGACATCCTCGTGCCAGGTCATGTCTTCCGCCTTGCCAGTAGAGCTGAGTCTAGCGCGGTCCTCCTTGCTAAGCTCAACAAAGACAAACCCGAAGATTTGCTCAAAGATTTTGATCATGCCCTGATATGTACTATCAACAGGGAAGTATTGAGAAATCTCAGCCTCATCCACACTGTATTCCTTCTCTTTCATAATTCTCGAGTAGAATGGAACATCCCACATGTACAAGTTACCGTCGAATGGTGCACCCCGCGCCTCACAATCCTCCTTCTTGTACTGGAGAAGGCGATCAGCCTCCTTTACACCTCCTGGGGCAAGTCGCTCGCGCAGATCGCCTAGAAATTCCATGACTCTGCCTGAAGTCTTGGCCATCTTCTCGGAAATAACCAGGCTAGCGTGGTCCGGGAAACCAAGCATACGAGCGGCCTCGTCTCGAAGGGCAATGATTTCGCGGAACAAGGGAACATTGTTGTTTACCTTGTTGGACTCGGCAATGACATAGGTGCGTCTAGTGCCCTCATGGATAGCATACTTGCTCATGGGGAAGAAATGATTGTACTTGAAAGTGACCTTGACCTTTCCCTCGTTCTCTCCGGTGCCCTTTTCGAGCCGGCTAATATCAATATCATCAGAGGGGACACCCTCAAGCTGCTCAGGGGTGAACCAAACACCGCCCATCTCGTCGTTCAGGTTCTTCTGGCTCTGAAGGCACAGCAAACTGAGACGCTTCTGAATGTCCTTGAAGCGGTCCCTCTTGGCGCCAGCTGGCAATAGAAGGCCATTACGGATATACTTTTGGCGTTCCTTCTGCAAAAGGTGCAGAGATTCGCCATCCAGCTTTTGGGAGTCACGAGTCTGGAATGCAGCATCAACCAGTTTGAATATATCCTCTCTCATCTTGAGTTCAATGTTGAACTCATCGGATATTTCCTGGGCCTTGGTCGAAGCTTCTCTGAGCTCCTTGCTGGCAGAGACATACTGGTAGAACTGGGCAACGCGGTAGCTTCGTCCCAGCTCGTTCTCGTTCACCAGGCAAGGTTCGAGAACATTGCCAAAGATGGCATTTTCAGGCTTCACATCAGCCACTACCTTATCCAGAATCTTCTTTGTGAGCTCATTGTTCTTGTTGATATCGGCAACAACTGACTCGGTGGTGCCGGTGAAGAGTGGTGGTGCCTGAGGCGGGGTCTGGTAATGAGTACCGGCCATGCTGCTTGTCATCAATGGACGAAAACGATGAACGATGCGTCGGTCCGCACTTGGGCGAAAATGATTGACAAGGGTGTTGAGACGGAGAAAAGCCCGTGAAGAGGCCAGGGTTGCGGCGAGGATAAAGACGACGAGGGACAGAGCAAGGAGGGGGAGTGAGAGGAGACGCGGCCGGGGCTGCTTTAAATGACTCCGCCTATCCAGTTTGACTGCAGGTACAGGAGGGAATTCGGAAACTGTCCAAGGAGTGAGAGGCCGTCTCGATCTAGAAGTAGGATGGAGCGGTGGACAGCTGTTAAACCGCCTGTAGGTGTGCAGCAAGCCGCGGTTCGATGCAATGTAGTCTGGTAGGATGTACCAACGACAAGCTGTCTGGTGTGTCAGCACTTGAGGTCAGTCAACTTGGGAGCGAGCTTCCCCAGACCGGCAGGTGTTCCACCGTGACAGCGGGGCAGCGAGGGGGAACACGGAGCCCAAGCACTCCAGTCTTGCAAGTGCTGACTGCACATGTGAGCAACAACCAGCGGAGTTTAGTAAATGTGATGCATGTCGTCTCCATCAGCACTTCGGAACCATGCAACAGACCGTTAACGCCAATTGCTGATAGCAATTTGTGAATAGCTCTGTAGCTGAACAAGAAGACTTCAATCAAATCGGCTTGTCTATGGACCCAGGCCTTCCAGTTGTTAGGTCGCATTTCCTGCAGTAGTGACTTGTCGACCCCACCACGCATTGTTCTATCACCTTTACAACACGATGATTGCCAGCAAACTTTACGCTACGTGCCAGTGCCCAATCAACGATACACAAGTCCAATGTCAACGTCAAAGTTTAACTTAAATGAGTAGTCGCAGAAGAACTGCCCTCTGAACAATTTATCTACCATTCCAAAACCTATATCCATACACAAAATAATGAGTCTTGACTCAAATGCCAACCCACTCCCACGCACTTTCCAACTCCATGCCTCATTGCATCCTCCATCGCCAAACACTGTCATGTAAGAGAAAAACAGTACAAGGAAAAAGAAAAGAAAAGAGCAACGCCATCCAGTCCGCACATGCAAAAAGGCTGAGCAATCATTTCGTATAACACACCATCATCGAAAATGGGGCCGTGCAGTCGCCTAGTTGGCGAGAATGGTTCGGACAAGGTCTTTAGAAGATTAACGTCAGAAAATATTCAAATGTTGGGGGGTTACAGGTCCAGGAGTATCCCTGTGCTTGTCACAAATGGCACTGCGAAACATACCAGTATAGTTTACTTGACCAGAGCTGGTGTCCACAGCCTTGAGCAACTCATCAACCTCATCCTCTGACATCTTCTCGCCAAGGTTCGTCAAGATGTACTTGATCTGACCAACGCCGATAAATCCAGTCATATCCTTGTCAAACACCTGGAAGCCGCGACAATATTCTTCGGGCTCGCCAGGGTCGCGGAAACCGCCAGGGCGGTTCAGAATGCGCTGGAATGTCTCGAAATCGACTGCTCAACAGCACTGTCAGTTATTCATGCCCACGGGTTCCCTTATGTCGCTCTTTTTCGTCAGCTCAATCTACTCACATTCGCTACCGGCATTCTGCTCGAGGTCCTTGATCTCGGACAAGGTGGGGTTCTGGCCACAAGCTCGAAGCAAATCACCCAAGCTGTCTACAGTCACCCTGCCATTGCCGCGCTTGTCAAAGAGGGCAAAGGCCTCCTTGTAGTTGGTGGAAGCCTGAGAATCGTACTGGTTAGAAGACATTGTCAAGTCTGTAAGCTGTGCTGCTAATGATGCGGCTGGAATAGAAAAAGGAGGCCCCGTCCCGTCGTCCCGTGGGTGCGCGCTTGGTTGAGCACAATCGGGTGAATGTTCGTGTGCACAGCTAGCCACAGAGTGCTTCTTTGCGCCTGCTTCGGTGTTTACAGCTTGCTAAAGGAAATGCGTCGTTCGTCACGAAAGTTGGCAGATGTGTTGTGCAAACCAAGATTTCAGAGCTCGCGTCGTTTGGGCGCATTTGGAGGCAATCCAACCCGGAAGGGGGCAATCACACTGTGCTGACTGGCATCGAACTGGCGAATCACATGGCGAGGCTCGTCGACCGCGGGGCTTCTTCTCTGCTATTTGTTTACAAAGGTGGCGTCGGGTGCTGGGGCAACTCACCATTGTGTCTGGTACCCCAAGTACGGAGTAGTCGGAGGGCTAGAGTGCAGGAGGGAGCACAAATAAATGCGCTAGCGGCAGCTTCCCGACTGGAACTCTGTCGTGTACCCAAGATGTGAAGTAGTTGCTGAGGGCTTCGCAAACGACTTTCAGGCTTGCAGAAGATGATTTTGGCGCTGATGAAGGAGTTGGAAAAGTGTAGAGTAGCATGGAAAAGGACAACAATGAAATTGCTCGTCTGCTGACACAGACGCTCTGGTCCCATTGATTGCCAAGGGTACGGTGGGCTGTTACTTCGTCTGTCCCCCCTGCGCCTGCTTCTTTGGCCGGGCAACAGTCACTTCATCCGTTCTGCACCCAGTCCAGCTTCAAAAGGTGCACGCACACACATCCCCATGCTGCGGCGACTTGACTTCCTCATACTAACCATGTCCCGGCCTAACGCGTCCTCACATTTCTTAATATCATAACGAATAAGGCCGCATTCTGTCCGCTGCGCAATCCATTTTCTTAACGACATTTTCCGTCACTTTGCCTGGAGCATGTCAGTGGCAGCCATCATCACGGCCCGGCGCCAGCTGAGCAGGGGCAAGGGGCCGCGTTCGAAACACTGAAGGGATGTACGGAGTACAAAGCCTCCGTGCTCGAGATGTTAGCAACTTGCGGTGTGTTGTCGCACCTTTCATGTCAATCAAGGCCCACGACTCATTGGCAGTGAGAGGCTAGAAGTGATTATCTTCTTAACTCGTACACCAAACAAAACCTCGCCAAACGTTTCGCGTAATTGCTCAAACATATCTAGTTACTTGCAGTCATCTACCGAAAAACAACGGATCATTGCTCCTTATTCAACGCTTCTTTGCCATGAGGATGTACGTACCCCAGACCGTATCAACCTCGGCGTCTCTCCACCCGTCGCCAAGTCCCTTCCATTGCGGCTCTGATTCCACAATACGATCCATGAGGATATCAGCCAAGTCCCCCTGACCTCCTTCCGCCCGGCTCTTAACCTCTGGATGAGCATCGCGCCAGCCCTGGAATGCACTAAATGTTCGAACATATGCCTCCAGTTGCCCTAGATTAATTCTCCTCTGCATCCAGGCTGTTCCAGGGTCCGGTGTCTCTGGACAGTCCGCTTTGACGTCGTACAGATCTCGACGGATGGCCGTCCAGTCTTTAGCAGGCGGTTCCACCTCCCGCAACAGATTTCGGACTTTATTGCGGCCAGGCTGTTCCCAGTAAGCATTCATTCCCTCGACGCCTGACTCGACGTCTCCATCTGCGTAGCAGTACTTGTCGAATACTCGGTTGGCTCTCTCGTGCCCAATGAGGACGTTGTCCTTGTATCCCCAGAAAGCAAGAGAACCGCCAGGTTTCAGCACGCGAGATAATTCAGGCCACGCTTTGTTGTAGTCAAACCAGTGTGCCGACTGTCCAGCCACCACCATGTCAATGGATTTATCGGGGAGGAAGGACAGGTCTTCGGCGCCGCCCTGATAAAACGTGATCTTCTTATCCTTTGTCATTGATGTGGCTTGCCTCACCATGCCTGGGCTTGTATCAATGCCAATCACGCGACCAAAGTGAGGGCTCATTTCTCTGGCGATCAATCCATGGCCGCACCCGATATCCAGCAAGGACCCCGATGAGATGCCGGCATTATTATGATAGCCCAGAACGGTTCTAAACAAACTTGCAGGATATGTTGGCCGCGCCGCGGCATACCCTGCAGCGGAAAAGGTTGCTTTGCTGAAGATGCTTGGTCAGCATGTGTGGAGTGCGCGCACGACAATCAAGGCGCAAAGGACAAGTGCTCTTACGCAAATAGAGACATTGCTATAACAACATGTTGTACAGTATTACAATTGCTGCTCTTGCATTGGCCCCAGCTTCTGGAGTTAAATTGGAATTATATGTCATGGACCGAGTCCAAGCCATGGAGCAACACCACGTCTTGCCGATTCGGCCGACCTCGGGTTTACAACGGATGGGGCAAGCCTGGCCTCCCTTCAAACGCTTGACAAGGTTTGAGTCGGAAACCCCGCAGAAGCCGCCGGATCTGCCTCTGTGCTGATCGCCATCTCCTGCTCGAATGAGGACATCAGCCGAGGGCATTACTATTATTACCGGCAACCCCTGACATTTCGAGGTTCGGTCTACTACCCGCGGCTTGCAAATAGGCAACCAGCAATTGACAACCAACTTGACAACACCAAACATAGCCACCACCGCCGGTACAATGGCCACCGAAACCACTGCCCGCAAGTTCTTTACGTCGCCGTTCTTTGCCGTCGTCGGCGCCAGCTCGAATCCCGCCAAGTTCGGTCATAAAGGCTCGTATTTCCTAGATGTATCCGCCATCTACCAATTCACCCCGACTAATCCTGTGGAATAGTTCATGCTTGGTATTTGGATCATGGTCTGAACGTCACACCAGTCAATCCGGGCTCTTCTTCCGTGTCTGTGGGCGGCCAAGATTACGCCACAGTCCCGAACTTGTCTGGGTTGCCCAATCCTAAGCAGACCTCGGTATCTATCATCACTGCACCTCCTGTCACTGTTAAGGTGCTTGAGGAAGCCAAGAAGATTGGTATCCCAGGCGTCTGGCTTCAGCCGGGCACTTTTGACGATGCAGTTCTGAAGCTGGCCCTTGAGAAAGGCGCCTTTGAGTCTGTGGTATATGGTGATGGCGGACGGGGGCATGACGGTTGGTGCGTTCTTGTTGATGGTGAAAGAGCAATGAAGGATGCTGGTAAGCTATGATGAACGCACATATGCGAATAGTAAATCGAATTTAGGCAGCTTGGTCCCGGTGCGTTGAAAACATGTCGGTACTAGTCTCGCATAGTCGAGGCGCAACCAGAGGATACACGCAATGGGCGGCACTGTGGCCAAATCAAATTGACCACCGATATCTATGCTTATGATTTAACCTGTTTGTCATGGCTGCCACGATACGGCCTAGGTTATGGTCCATTACCGCCATGTCATGTACCAGACTCACAAGGCCAAGTGACAAGTCGACAAGGGATAGCTACCCGGGTTGCTGGAAGAGCATACACCCACAGCTGTGTGTGTAGAACTGTGATGAGCTGGTATAATTATAAAAGCTGGTGTTATTCCAAGGAACAAGAAGGGCCAGACACCCCCAGGTCTTGAGGTCTTGAATTTTTGAAACAACAACGGCAAATTTGGGACTTGAGCTGTGTCCTCCGTCCATCTTCAACGCCTGCCAGATCGCGAGGGTTAGATAGCCCCACTTGGCCTGGGAGTAAACAAACACGTTCATGGCCAACCAACCACGACCAACGTCACGGCAAGTTCCCTATCGCCCTAAACAGCGCAACATCGCATGACTTTCTCTGTTGTATTTCACAGCGTGACGTGATCTGGAGGCGAAGGCTTTATTCTTTCTGCTTTTCTTTCTTTCTTTTTTTTCCTTCCGAGAGAAGGCAGCATGAGAACAGACATGTCCTGCATGCGCATCTGAGCTTTCCAGTATTTACCGCGACGCGCACCGACCAACATTTCACCAGGACGCAAAAACAATCGACACCCAAGAAAACATCATTGACACTTGTCGCTCTCTGCGATGGAACAATACTTCACATATGAGGCGCGACTTGCCTCGTTCCAAAAGACCTCTAAAAAGAGGGGATCAACAGCGGGTGGGCGTAGCAAGGCTTTGAATTGGCCGCATAAACAGATTGCGCCCGCGAGTGTACGCGCCATTGAATCCAACCTCTCCTGCGCAAATCCGTCTGACGATTTTCTTCATAGCTAGCGAGAGCTGGATTCTACTTCGAACCATATCCTGAAAACCCCGACAATTGTGTCTGCTTCCTTTGCGGAAAGGGCCTAGATGGGTGGGAAGCTGGTGACGATCCTCTCGAGGAGCATCTCAAGCATGCCCCCCAATGTGGATGGGCCATAGTGTCAGCAATTGAAGCCGACATCGATGAGTATTCGAGGCAAGACCCGACCCTGCCCCATATGGTTGAGGCACGAAAGGCGACATTTGCTGGAAAATGGCCCCATGAGGGAAGGAAAGGGTGGAAGTGCAAAACAAAACAGGTAAGGTGTGAAGAACACGTACAGCTACGGCATCTGCTTACTTGAGTTGCTCTAGCTTGTTGAAGCTGGCTGGAAGTATACGCCTACGGATGAGTCAGATGACATGGCGACTTGTGCGTATTGCCAGTTGGCTCTAGATGGATGGGAGCCAAGTGACAAACCTTAGTATGTAGGCCCGCAAGATCTTGACCAGAGTGTTGGAACTGACCCTATGGCAAGCGACGAGCATTACAATCGATCACCGGACTGCGCATTCTTTGCCTTGCTCAACGAATTCGGAGGGCCCAAGAAGAAGACTGTCCGAGGCAAGGCGGCGGGTGGATCAAAGACTTCTCGACTATCTATGCAATCAGTGGCCACGACTGCCTCTGACATCGCGTCTGTTGCCGATATGACTGCAGAACCAGAGGATAGCGTTCTCACCACTACATCGACGGCGACACAGGGGAGCAAGAAGACTGCGAGCAAGAAAAAAAAGGTAGCAACGGCAAAAGGCAGGACTAAAACTAGGAAGGTGCAAGAAATTGAGAAAGAAGAAGACGATGCTGTTGAGGAAGAGCCTGTGTCGCTACCGAAAACTACAAAGGCAACCCGTGGCAAGAAACGAGCTAGTGACGCCATGGATGATTCCGTTGTCTTCTTATCCGAGGTCCCAGCGTCTAAGAAACAAGCCACACAAACCCGAGAAAGCAGTCAAATTGACAGCTCTACCATCACACCTGAAGATGTCGCGTTGGTTGATGAGCAGGCATCGAAACCGGCCGGTCGGGCCAGGAGTTCCAGCACAAAGTCAAGCCGCAAGCCATCTGCCCTGGGGGCATCTATGGCTTCACTCCGGGCACCCCTTGGAGATTTCCCTGACGATGAGGAGATTGAACGCCAGCTCGAGGCAGACTTGGAACGGGCATTGACGGATGACGATGAAATTGCACACGACTCAGAATCCGAGCGATCGAAAGCAATGGCTAAGCAGAAGTCAAGGGGACAATTGACCAATGAAGAGTTGGAAGACTACGCCATGTTTGATCCTGCTGAAATTGAGCCCGATGAAGATGCGCTGGATGATGAACTTCGAAATCTTCAAGCCGAAATGGAGGTCGAGGAGCCAAATCAAAAACTTCATGTTCCTAAAAAAGGTCGCAAACCTGGAACTGGAACACGCAAAGCATCCAAGCAGACAAAGGCGAAGAAGGCTAAAGCTCCTTCACCGTCTCCAGAACCTGAACCGGAGGCTATTGACCCACCTTTAGAGATTGAGGAGCATGAAGCCAGCATTGGGAGCACAGATTCTGTGGTGAAGAATACAGACACCGTATATTCTCCTCCGTCAATCGAGGCCCCTCCGAGAGCTGTCAAAAAATCGTCGGTAGCTTCAAAAACCGCATCAAAACCTGCAGAAGAACCCGCTATACGTGGCCGTAGACCGAACAGCACAACGGTTGAACCTATACAACCGTCGGAATCTACTCAGCGAAGCGAAGTCCATGCCGATGATGAGGTCCCCGAGGCGGATGGGGAAACTCGGCGACGTGGATCTGCAGGGACGCCACAGCCTGAGGAAGCTTCATCGCCTCTTGGGGAAGCTTCTTGGCCAGCTGTGTCCAGTTCAAGACTAGGAGTTGAGCCGCCATCTACTCCCCCAAAGTTCACGTCACCAGCGCCGTCGGCACGCCAGCCAGCATTGTCGCCGTCACCATCACCGCAGTCATCCGACGCTGAAAATCTGCCTCCCTCATCTATGCCCCCGGCCAGTGCCAAGACGAGGCGCGTTGTCCTTGCGCCCGTAACGGCTACGCCGGCCCGCAACTCACCGTCAAAACGCAATATGCTTGCGGCCGGCTTGCAGAGTCAAATTCCGTGGACGGCGGTGGATATCGATGCAGTTATGGGTACACCACCCCGCGGGGATGACAAGGAAAATGCGGTTAGCCGGCTGTTGAAGCAAGGCAAGGAACTCACTAGCCCAGAGAAGCGCATGACGGTGGAAGAATGGATTTACTTCAATGCAGGGGAGGCAGAGAAGAAACTCAAACAGGAATGTGAGGCCATGGTCACGCGATTCGAGAGAGAGGGCACAAAGGCAATGAATGTTTTGGAGGGCCTGTCAATAGAGTAGAGGAGGTGGGAACTGGGTTGGATAAATTTTGGATGGGTGAACGAACTAAAGAGCTTGGGACGAGGATCTTTACTGATGGACTGGTGCATGGGCGGCGTTGATGATGAAATGACTGTTCGCATGGCGAATACCTACTATAATGTTTGTTATGAAGTGGACAATGTAGATGTGTGTTTTGAACCATTTGTGGCTGTTCATGACCCCCGGAATTAGTAGGTGACATGAGTATCATCCCGGCACGAAAGACCCAATGTCGTGAGGACTTGGTATGGTGATTTTGATTGCTAGCCAGGCGTTTTCGACACAAATGATGATCTACGTAACAAGGCACGGAGCATCTGACGAGAATGCTGATTTCGTCCGTAAACACTGGCGTCTGCACTCTGCACCTACCCGCAACATGCTTCGGGACAACCGTGCATATGATTAATTACGTGCTGTTATTCATTTCTCCGTATTTGATTACGCAATGTACCAGGTGACACGGCATAAGGCAGTCGGAATGGGGTGTCTAAACTCTGTCAGAGGAGGGTAGGATGTCTGGTGCTTTTTTTTTTGTTAAACTCGTGGCTTTTTTTTTTTGTTCGTAGTACGAGCGGCTAGGTAGTATGTCCTTGGCGAGAATCAAAGGATTGGGAACCCGGACAGACGCTGCTTAGCACAATTAGTGATCCTTTTTTTGAAATTTTGTGCTGTTGGGGGCAAGAATTCATATTTGCGCATCGATTCAGACAATTGTGTAACATGAATGGTGATGTAGAATCATGGGTAAATTGTTCATAGCCATGGAAGTAACCGTGTCTCATCAGGATACGTAATTGAAGATTGCGAAATGAGGGGACATGTCGAATCGTACTTTATAGTTGAATTTGTTTCCCTTTTCTTTTCGTGGAACCCGTTGCATCGAACTTGCTGCGGCAGCGCAAGAAAAACACACTGGCCAAGTTTCTCGCCCGTGAACCTGATGTAGACGCCAGAGTCGGGGTCATTGGTCGCCCTTGCAGGGACCGTTCTAGACCATCAAAATCGTGGATCGTGACTCCATGCCGGCTGGAACGCAGTGGCGCCGCGGGTCGTCCCGCTGGTTGACCCGCCCGAGGGGAGATGGCACGGGTGACATGGACACTTATGCCTGCTGTTTCTTGGAGTAGGAAGACGGTTTCGACATGCAGCAAGCTCCATAACCATTGGGTCACCTTTGAGTTGTGAGATGAGAAAGGAAAGTACAAGGGCAAAGTTTGTGGGCTGTGCCAGAGTTTTGTGGAACGCCCCAAGTAGGATTAGAGTTTGGCCGATGGTCCGACGGGGCAATTTCTGTCAGGAGAGGGTTTGTTCATGAACCTAAGTGCCTTATGTATATATTTCTCATGTTTGATGCTTGTGCTGGCAGAGTACAAGTTAGTGGCGCGTTTGCGGTATTAGCCATTGTCCTGTCCGTCAGCTGCTAAGTGCGGAGTAGACGCGCGATCCCATCGATGAAGGCTGAATGCTTCTCTATAGGGATGATTCATCACGGATTACGGAGTAGACGTTGTTACGGCTAGGCCCTTCCGTTTGGACTTGCGCAAAAGGCATTTGCCTCACGCCATGCAAGCGCATTCCCCATCAATTTTAGACTTGTTACATTATTCATTGCGAACAATGGTTAAGCGATTATCATCATCGATCTGGTCATTGCACCAAATGTTTCATGTTACGAAACGAACCCCTATCTGCGGCGCCCAAGATGCGCCTATGCAGACTCGCATAAACCCTTTCTTCGCCATGGCTACGCCCGACTATGCGGTGGTGAACTATTGCATGAACCCGGCCTTGTGTGGGCGACAGGTTCCTGATACACGAGAAGACGGTCAACTTGGACATTTGGAGAGCTGCCAAACTTCTGGCTCTGTATGCTGAACAAGGGCGAACTAAAATCATTCATCCAGGCATGTTGATCCTTGGAAGGAATTTCACATACATACATAGTCAGAGAGGGTTGTCATCTGAAATCTGGTCGCGCAGAGTACGAAGTTCCTGCTCACAACCTCACTTACCAGTAGTTGGGCACACTCGTTCTTTTCATTACACAATAACATTCCCCCAGGCTAAGGCCTATATATTATACATCAACTATTTCGACATGCCCTCTTGTTTTTATGCGTTTATTGGCACATGTCACTTAGGGAACACCCTAAAGCTGGATGATATTAAGCAGGTGCCGAAAGGCGCTTGTGGCCACGGTAATTGCAAAGGGTTCCCATGATACCTGAGTCATGCAAAATGTCTGTTATCGCAAATTACTAGGTATGGCATATTCACAATGTTGACATGGCACTCGCATTTTGCGAAGCCTTCAAAACAAAACTGGGCTTTGTGAGGTCTCAATCCTGTTGGCTGCACTAGACGGCATGGGTTTGGGGTCCAGGCCTTCTTCATTTGAACTAGTAATTCAAGGGTCTTTTGTTCCGATCATTGATGGTCTCTGACCCCCTGGACTAAAGAATGAGTAACACAGGCTATTGGCTTTTCGTGATATCCCTGTGAGGCTGTGAATATGGCGCATTTCGTGACATCTTCTACCCACAATATACTGATGTAACCAAAGTCACCAAACTCAGTCATGGCTTGAGCCACATCAGCAAGCCCTAGTCGTCGGGGTCAGTATGAACCAGATCCCTGGCAGAAGACAGCACAACAGGCAGCATGGAGTGGCAATGTCGCACCGCAGGACTTGGACCCATGAGGCTGGCCTTGCTGGATATTCGAGTGTTCATTTTCATCGGCCTGAGACGCCTGACAACCGCGTATAAAGCTGACTGATAAATTGCAAGAGGAGCGGTACGATTTGACCCTGTAGAAGGCCTGTATCTTCAAACACTGGTCATAAATGCATGGGATTTGGAGATGGATTTTTTGGCATGCCGAGAATGGGCCGGGCCAGATTCTCATGCTTCAAAGAGTGCTATCAAGAGACTTATTCGCTCCGAAATACGGCATAAATGCCCATTGTCTAAGTTAGTGGTCAAGCGGATCATCACCATCTTCGGAACTCACAGGGTGAGCCAAGGCGTGACTGATACATTGCACATATAAATGATCTTGCATGACTGTCTCGTAGAACATGAAAGATATTGCATTGAAAGCGCAAATCGGTTCAGCAGACTGACAACCAGCGAGGGAAAAAAAGGCTTCGTCTGCTAGGTAGATGCTCAAGGGCCAACCACAACTGCCTTGTGCCACCATCACGACCTAATTGGCGACGCCACCATTTGTGTTTCGACTGGAGATTCGAAGGAGGTTTATTCGCATTGCTTTTGCCATAGTTCTTGTTACCACGATAAGTCAAATATCAACAAATGAATACCATGGTGATGGCGTCTTTCTCGTGTTGGAGTCCTGGCGGACCTAAGCCAAGAAACCAGGTGATACAGCAAGTACTCCAATGCCCAAGTACTAGTTGCTTTGTCTCACCATACTGTTGGCCCACCAGGTTGTCAACCATGACAGTGGAAACAGCGTGGTGGACCCAAAGCTAGACATGTAACGGCCTCCTGTTTGCTTTCACTCACCGCAAGCTCAATTTTCGGTCTCTCTTTGTTGTTGTCCATATTGATGTTGACTAGATGGCGGATGTGTACATCTAGTCTTCTAATCGACACGCGATCTGCCCCTTGCAACCGTACGACGCAGACTTTGGTCGTCTTCATCTAGTACGTCGGCCGTGCGGTGTTACGACTGGGCGAACTACCGAATGGCGCCAACTAGCCCGTTGCTCGACCACTGACGTATCTACCCAGTTATTTCCTAACAAAATGCCATAAGAAACGCCTCTCCTGGAAGGTGAAAACTTGGTTAAGCTTGGCAGTGAAGCTTAAGCGGATCCGTTGGACTGTTTCTCTCTCCTTCCTCAATGCTTCCAAGGAGGTGAGGATGAAGCCCGCCGCGCGTAAGCAGTGGATGAATTTTTAAGGCTATAGGCCACCTCCGCATTTGCATCGAAGGTTAACCCACGAGTGGGATAGCATGGGACTTGGCGATGGGAGTTAGCTGGACGGTAGATGGCAAAGGGGGGAATGGAGACTGACGCGGGGCTTGAAGGGCCGAACGCCACTATTTTGGGACGATCAGCTTGATCCAACATGATCAGCACAGCTGCGGTATTTGGATTACCCTTGCTTTGGTTGACTGGTTGACGAGTCCAATAGGCAAATGTCTGCGCGTTGGACCACAATGTTCTGTGCGATCGTGCCCACCATATTCTGTGCGCTGCGTATCTGCCAGGGAGGCTCATCATGGTCAGCCTGGTCTTGGTTTTGTCCCCGACCACTGCCGATGTGCAGTGTGACCATGACCTACAGACCAACAGACCAGCCGGGAGTCCGGGACCAAGGATCCCAAATTAATCAGAGACTGGCGTTTTGCGCTTTGGAGCATTGCTGTTGGGTGTGTATTGTAATCGACGTGGACGGGGTGCTCCGTTGTCTCCCATGGAGTACTCCGTAGTAGGGCAGCAATGGAATACGGACAAGGTGCCAATGCCCACGCCCCCCTCTGCCTTTCAATGCTGACGGTGTGTCGAAGTGGAATCGATAACCAGTTGTCGGTTGGGGTTGTTTTTTAGTTCTCCTCGTCGCCCTCCTGTGTGTGCGATGTAAAGCAGCTTTCCAAATTCCACTGCCTTGACCACTCGAAGCTTTGACGCTGTGACATTGTGACATTGCCTCCTTCTCAAATTGAGGTTTGCTCCTTCCCACTTGGCCTTGACTACAAATTCGTGGTCTAGACTAAGACGTGCCGGTCCTCCCCTTTTTGCCCAAGTGTGTCCACAGCAACGTTGAAAGCTCTCACTCCTGTCACTTCGTCATCATCGTCGTCGTCGTCGCCGACGCCTGCCGCCCTCACGACGTTAACTGCTGTGCTCAGCTTGAGGACCATTTGATCGCAGCCTGCTGCTCATCACCTTGCGACTTGGCAAAATGAGTGAACTTGAAAAATCTAGCCCAATTGACCAAGGCAACGGGGATGCTTTGTCTAATTCTGACCTCGAAAACATCGTCGATCCCGATGCCGGCTTGTCAGAGGCTGAGAAGAAGGAAGTGGTGAGCTTTTTCCTGCCTCGCGCAACGCCTCTTCACTGTTCACTCGATTCTGACGCATAAATCTTTTGTCTCTGTGAAAAGGAACGCAAACTACTGTGGAAGTTGGATTTGATGCTCATCCCCTGGGTTCGTGCCGTTTTGCTTGTACATTGAAACTGTTCGCCACCTAGGCAGTTCGTCTTGTGTCTGCTAACTTGACAAATAAAAACAAAAGCTCTGTCTTCTGTACTTGATCTGTTTTCTCGATCGCACCAACATCGGCAATGCCAAGATTGCTCATCTGGAGAAAGATCTGGGAATGGACCCGAAATCACTCAAATATGCGGCCACACTTATAGTGTTCTTCGTCTCCTACGCCATGTTCGAGGCGCTCGCCAACTTCCTGCTCAAGAAATGGAAGCCATCCAGGTTCATCCCAATCATCATGTAAGCTGACGTCCATCCCGTCCATCGAAGAAGTCGACGAAGTTTGTCACATTGTTTGATCTTACACTGATAATCACTCTTCCAGGATCTTGTGGGGTTGCTGCATGCTTGGCATGGGCTTTGTAAAGGATTGGTCTGGTCTCATGGCGGCTCGATGGTTCCTTGGCGTGGCCGAGGCCGGTTTGTTCCCTGGCGTCAATTACTATCTGTCATGCTGGTATAAGAGAAACGAATTTGGAGTGCGTGCTGCCATATTCTTTTCAGCAGCCGCTTTGGCTGGCTCTTTTGGTGGCCTGCTTGCGGCTGCCATTCAGAAGATGGACGGTCTCCGAGGTATCCCGGGTTGGGCTTGGATCTTTATCATCGAGGGTCTACTGACTATAGTCATTGGCTTCCTCTCCTTTTTCATGGTTCATGATTTTCCAGACGAGGCCAAGTTCTTGGCCCCTGAAGACCGTGCACGTGTGTTACTCCGACTAAAGAACGATAACCAACACTCCGCTAGGCACGAAGACTTCAAATGGGACTACCTGTGGGCTGCCGCTAAGGACTGGAAGACTTACAACGGTATGCTGATCTATATGGGCCCTCTGATGCCACTCTACTCTTTCAGCGTCTTTCTGCCTACAATTATCCAGTCCATGAGCTTCACGTCTGCCGACCAGATCATCAGGAATCAACTCCTTAGCGTCCCACCGTATGCGGTTGCAGCCGTACTGACAGTCATCGTTGGGTTTTGGTCTGATAGGGTACAAAAACGTGGCGTTTTCATCATGGGATGTGCCGTTATTGGAACAGTTGGCTTCGTTATGTTGATATCAACAACTGATCCGGCTGTCCAGTATGCAGGCACCTTTCTTGGCGCCATGGGTATCTACCCTCCCATCTCATTAACCATCGCGTGGGTAGCCAACAACGTTGAAGGTGTCTATAAGCGTGGTATTGTGCTTGGATTCGTTATCGGTTGGGGTAATCTCAATGGCGTGGTCAGCAGTGTCATTTACCGATGGCCACCTCGCTACTTCCAAGGCCACGGAACCATTATTGCGTACCTAGTCGTGTGCATGTTTGGAGGCAGTTTGCTCTTTGCTACTATGCTCAACTTGGAGAACAGGAAACGCAGCAAGGGCGAGCGCGACCATTGGATAGAGGGTAAGACTGAGGAAGAGATCAATGTCCTAGGCGATAAGCGACCCGACTTCCTGTACACCCTCTAGCCGTGCGTGCTGGAGACCTTGTACGCCTGGCCAAATGGCGAGTACGCACCACCAGAAACCACTGCATAGCGATCAACTCGTCATACGATACACATTCAGCGGATCCTCCGAGTATACATGTCGTGGTGTTCTCATCTCTATATCGGGCCCCCACCGCAGGGATACAGAGGTTGGATATTGATGTTATTAATTTTGGATATAGTCAGACATGATGCTTTTGATTAAAGTGTCAAGTATTTTTTGGATACCACTACCATTCCTATGTGCTGTTAAATGGGACACAAATAGGGTAATGAAATTGCATGAATCGAGGAGCTCTCTGCAGCTTGAGTAACACGACTATTCATGGTGCAGATGGAGAGCCCAGTCGTTGTTGTCTAGTATACCTCTGATAGCCTTCGTACTCGAAGCACACCAAGCGCATAGGTTGTTCATTAGCAAGCCAGACAAGATTGATTTGGCTTGAGAGAACCTCGAATTAGCGCTCAAGCTTGGCTCGGGCATTGTCGCCGGAGAGGCCACTCCATGGAGCTAGTCGCATGCGAATCAGCATTCTATTAAAAATTATGGACGGTACTTTAGCAGTGCCGAAAGAAACATTGAAAAGACACCTGAACGGATCTTTCATTCGAATATGGAGTACACCTTGGACAATCTCCCAGCCACATGGCTCTGGCTCAGTCCGATTTGACGCCACCTGTACTGATGAGATGCAGAGGATTCCAGGCACATTGCTTTACAAACAACACACAATTGAATCACAGTACGCCACGTTACCGAGACATGACTAGCATACCCGCATCAGGGATATTCTTCAAGTCAACGCACCGATACTTCTGACCTCCCATGGCCAGTTTACTTTCCTGCTATGTATGGAATTTGTGGCCGAGGTGTTCTAGTCTGGGCTGGTCTAGACAGTAAGAACCTTGTCTCAGATGGATTTTTTTCAGACAGATCAAGACGAGAATTATCTCCCTCTTTCTACGCAATAGCCGCAGCGGATCGAGTGCTTGGCTCGTGTTCTCGGAGGTAATATTGTCAAGCGACCAAATATGATGGCCCCAGCGTACATGGCTGTGATGCCTTTGAAATTAGCGCACTGAGGCATGACAATGATGGACGTGCCTGGCCATGACCCATGCACTCTTGGGACCGTGGGTAAGCCACAATTAGGCAGCGGTTGGTTGAAAGGGCGTCGCCGCATGCTCTTTGTAGCATGACAATATCAGCATTCTGAGTCCTGACAACCCAGCCCGCCGCGCCCAATCGACAAGAACGCGACCTGCAATGCGACCTTACGAGCCTCCACTGCGAGACGTTGCCTATCCGGACCTGAGTCAATGACTGCTCATCTGCAATTGAATGTCATAGGAGCTTCATCTCACCAAGGCAGCAAGGAGTTGACTTCCATTTCCGGATATGTATGGATGGATGCTCTGGACCGGGAAGCGTGGTAAAAAGGCCGGGCAGAGAATCCAGTCGATCCACGGGCCGTGATTCGTGTCGTTTATTAGCCGGATCCGCTCAAGAGCCCCCAGTTTTCCCCTCTGGATTCGATCTGGAGTCAACGAGTCAAACATGATCGACGTTCCTTTTGTCGGCTCTTTGACATGTCACAGTGGACCCTTTTGAATGGCGCAGTTGGCAATTATGAATAGTAGTAGTCTTGTGCAGACTACGGGCCGCCCGCCGCCCTGGAGCTCGCAGACGAAGTACAGGAGAACGTTGGAAAGGGCTGTTGTACGATGAACACGCGGAGAAACCGTCCAGTTAGACAACAAGGCGGTGTCTGCCATGTGGAAAGTCCATGTGGCAGCCGAGACAAGCCTTTGTTGTCACATGGGACGCCTCGCCAAACTGGTCTGCGAGACCCTGGCTAAGAGATCTGGGGTACGGGCCCGTTAGTAGTAACTGATGGCACTGTCGCTCTAACGGAAGATGGTTAAGATTGGGCTTGATCTGGAGGATCAATGAGGCCCTTTGTCGATATTGACCAAGACATCATACCTGACGCCGTCAACGCAGGCGGATAAGAGAAGTCGTGGCCGCTAGTTTTGAACCATTACACGGTGTATACTCACGGGCCCTCCATGCATGCCATCATGTTATAAAGAAGCTTTATCTGTTCTGCTTTTCCGCTGAAGATACCATTCTTGTCGGAAACTTGTTCAGTTGTATGTCTGTCAGGAGTAATGAAGCTAAGAAAAATCCGACATTTGACTCGAGCTGGTGATCCTTCGCCGCGACCAAATCCTTTCTTCATTATCGTTGTTCTTCTGGTAGGAAGCAACGTCTTTACACTTTCAAAGTCCTGTATCAAATTCTAGTAGGCGATTCAACTACGTTACAAGAACAGGAGAGGTCTAGGAGCATTGTCAGTAACACCCGGTGCCACCAATCTGGATCAATCCTCTACAAATTTTGGTTCATCATCCCGTCAAGATATTTCTCAGACCTACGGTTCCGGTTACACCAAATCGGCTGCGTGGGATCTACCAGCTTAGCGGATTCTAAACAAGAGAATTGCCAGAATTCTCGCCAAGCACGGCCAGGCGCATCGTGTTGTGTGGTACAAGCCTAGAGGCCAAGCCGGCTGGCGTTAAACAGCTCCGGTTATCGTATTAATCCTGGCCGATGCCAGCTATTGACGATAAGTGGTCAGGCGTTTGGGCTGGAAACACAAACTCTTGTCGAGGTGAATGGCGATACGGAACCTCTGCTCCGACCCGTCGCCCAAGCACCTGTCAGTCACCCTTCCCATCACAACTGTGATCTACAGTCTTCGACAGTGCTACCTTTCACTCTCGCCCCCGAGCTTACTCGGTAATAAGGTCCACTATTGCTGTATACGCCATTAGTACGAGGGCTGATTTTTATATTTATACCTTTTTTTTTTCCAATCTTTTTCGTTTCTCGCACTACTGGATTACTTTTAGAGAGGACCTCTCGAGGGTCCTCTGAATATAAAAACTACAATGCTTCCTCCCCGAACGCTCGCCGTATCATCTTCTGATCACCTCACTCTGGGCGAAATAGCAACCATAACAACGTTGGAAAGGATAGGAGGAGCTATAAGCCTCGTGGCCGTCTGCTTCATCTTCGTCGCGTATGCGCTTGTGCGTCGAGCCCGCAATGTTCAAAATACCTTCATCGTGTTTGCCAGCATTTCCAACGTCGGTGCAAGTATAGCCTGTATCATTGCATTGGATGGATTGGTGCTAGGTGAAGGAACATCCTTGTGTCAGACACAGGCATTTTTATTCGAAATGTAAGTTGCGTCGTTGCGGCGTCACCGTTCGCGCGGATTACTATGCTTTGAGAGCATGGACTGATAAGAACAGGTTTATGCAATCTGACCCTTGGTGGTCCTTGGCTATGGCCATCAACGTTGTTCTCGTCTTTTATTTTCGTACGAGCCCAGATTCTTTCCGTCGCTGGTGGTGGCTATACTGTCTAATATGCTATGGCGGGCCATTCATTATCGCCTTGTCGTTGCTACTCATACGGGGTTCGCCCAAGGGCTTGGTATATGGGGATGCAGTTGTGAGAAGCACCACCCCTATCCGTTTCGTCTTGCCTACCATCATCAGGTCGACTAACTCGGTGTGCTAGATATGGTGCTGGATAGGTGGTAAATGGGCCGGTGTGCGGATTTACTCGTACTACTTGTTAATCTTGATATGCATTGCTGGGACAATTATCAGCTACGTATTAGTTGGATACCACGTATTTCGATCACGAAACAGACTTCGTAGCTTCTCCGTGTCTAAGAGCCGCGAGGTAGGCCACAGTGAGCATGTAAGTCTCGCCAACTCAACACCAGGGACCACCACGTACCTTCAGGTCAACATCCTTGTAAGACGTGAAGTAACAGTTGCAATCATATATAGGTTTCGAACGTTGATGACAGCCAACGTGTCGGTTTCTACGGAACCGTTACCACTGAAGTTCTCGTCACCCACACCTCGGCAAGCAACCTCGTCTACCCCAAGAATGCACATTTCGCCCAACACCGAGAAGCCGCCCCCTTCCCGGACGCCACGCTCCGAACCTCTGCAAACGCCGCGGCATTCATCTCCAGCGTGTCTGCCACCCCTCGCCGTCAGAATCTACTACTACCCAACCCAATCAACGGCACCGTATCAGCCTGCAAATCCATTGCCTCCAAATTTTCCGTCGAGGACCCCATCAAGCGGGCCTACCTGCGAACAAGTCTTCTCTTTGGCCTCAGTGTTCTAGTCACCTGGATCCCTAGCAGTATGAATCGTATTCACAGTTGGATAGAAGGCGATTCCCCTTACACATACCAGGTCGCCAGCGCCGCTGTGCTGCCCTTGCAAGGATTCTGGAACTGCGTTATATTTTTCGCCACAAGTTGGAGGGTAGTTAAAGACGACGTAATGTACAGGGCTGGCAGGATGCCACCGATATCACACAATGAGAGCGGAATGGGGACTCTCGAGAGGACCGTGAATAGAGAAGAAAACAGGGCTTTGACGGATTATGAAGTCGAGTCTCTGAATACACGGAGTGATGTCGAGTTGCGGGCGGTTGAGCACGCACCTAGGAAAGGGGTAGCTATATGATGGTGTGTGTTTTGCGAATTTGGCGAATACGGAGTTGGGGCATGATAGTGCTGCGGAGGTATTGTTAAATACCGTTTTCAAGTATTGCGTAGCGGTCTTGCTGTGTTGTAACCTGGGTAACGTGTATCCTGCTTTGGTTTTGCTCCTCAGGGCAATCTTGACATTGGAAATTTAATAAACTATAATAAACTTGGGGTGGCTTGGACTCATAATCACAAGTATCGATGCACATTGATCAAAATAAACGTCAATGCTCATTCCCGCACATCTCAGCGCAAAAAAAAAAAAAAGACTTACCTTGGATTTATACATTTAGCATTGAATGAGCCATTCAGAAACGAGGCCATTATTTACTTTGCATTCATTACGTTTGTATTCTAAGCCGTGAGTCATAGACATTCGAGATAGCCTTGCCGATATCAATCAGCTTCAGTCATCATCATGTCATCTAGCGTGGGTCGTACCACCTCATGAAACGAAAAGGAAAAAGGAATTGAGTGTCAAGCCGTTGATGAAGTGCAAGTCCCATCACATCGATTGATCTCCTTTTTGTATGCCCATACTGCAATCTCAGACACACGGTCGTGCCTGTCCGCCTTCGGCTCAGATATAGAGGCTTCTGTCCTCTTTTTATATCCATGCCATTTGGTTTTCTCTTCTTTGTCCATTTTATGCTTTGACTGCTTTAATCGGTCTCGAAGAAGCTTAACGATTGCTTCAGAAGCTTTAGGTCAACGAGTCCCATTACCCTTCCATCCGCCCTCCAGATGGATTCGTCCAAGCACCACCATAACGTCATGGTCAATGCTGTGACTATCACTTGTGTGGTACCTAGGCCAATGACGGCCGATTTGAGGGCACCATAGACGGTGAATGCGTTGGGCATGGCGAGGACAAAAATACCCGCAGCAAGGTTTCGCAGTATGAGTACGCCGGAATGCATGTCACCAATGCTGCGTTGAGCTATGGCGATGCTTGATGACGTGAAGGATGCGGACCGTGCGAGCAAGGGTCTAGTGATTGTGTCGAGGGTGTAAGTGCCGCCGGCAAGGATGCCTAGTTGCAGTGACAGCAGGGGCAGGCTGATCTGACCGGCAGTGTTTGAAGTGAAGAACGGAGCGGGAGGCCCGGGATTGGGTGTCACGAAATTGTGGATGCCAAGGCCATAGGAGAGCAAGCCTGTCAGGGACAGGATGCCACCTGTGCTGATAATGAGGCAGCTGACACTCTTTGTGAAGCGTTCATACAATCCGCGATAGAAACAGAAGCCCCCTACGACGAGTGACGCAATGACCCATGGACCGGTCATCATAGTTCCTGTGAGGGAAACGTCTAGTGAGATAGGTGCAGGTGTTGTCAGGATAGAAACCGAAGACGTCAAGCCCCAAAGTGCACCGTAGGGGATGAATGTCAAGACGAATAGGAGGCAGGTAGTTGGAGCGACGATGGCGCGAGGGACCTGAAGAACAGTCGAAATTGTTAGTGGAGCTTTGAATGAGAGCGGCTTCATCTTTCTGATGTACTCCACGGCAGTCTCCTTGTTCAGCCGATGTCGAAACCGCCAGGGTCGCCATCTATCTAGACCGAGTATGGGGAGAGGAGTTATAGTTGCCCTTGAGCGGTCAAATACTGTTTCGGGGGCTCCTAAGGCAAGAAGTGGGAGAGCCAGAAAGTAGAGGCAGTTGATGATGCGGAACTGGCTTGTGAAATTGTTTGCATTGCTAGATGCCAGGCCGCCAAGAAGAGGCGAGCCCCAGGTTGTGGTGATGGTCAAGAGGTTGTACATGGATACTGGCAGATTTCGTTCATGCTCCTGTTGAAGAATCAATGTTAGCGTTCACTGTAGAGGAAAGTTGACGTGTCTGTCGATTGCACCTACAAAGTAAGTGTCCTGAATGGACCCCATCACCAACGTATCAAATGAACCCCATCCTAGGCCTTGAAAAACCCGAGCTCCAAGACATGAACCGTAGTTATCACCTGCAGTCATGTTCCAAATGGTTCCGAGAAATAGGAATAACGTCGATACCAAGTAAACCGGCCGTTTCCCATATAACTTTGCAACAATGGAGCCAACTAGGCTTGTTAACGTCGAAACCATGAGAGGCCCAGCCGTCAAGGCGCCAATGGCCATGTTCGAGACTTGATAATGAGCCGCCAGAGAACCGGCAGTAGTAACAAATACAGTCTTCATCCCCCCAATGAGACCAACCATGACGAGAAGTGAAAACAAATTGAGATCTTTCTGCCATCGAGGCCAATTCTAATTCAGAAACGTATTGTTAGTTGAATTTGTTCGTGATGCCATACCATATATGTACGTACCAAAGGGTCGTCTGGGTCATCACTTGGTTGCGGTACAAGCTCAACATGAGCATATTTACCCCTTCCATACTTAATCGGCTTTTGGCAGTTCGACAATGATGAGCTCGTCATTGACCTTGATGGGATATCGCGATCCCCAGAATATCCAACATTGTTTGTGTCGAACGGGTGTGGAGAGTTGGCTATCCGCGGAGGGAGCGGCCTCGAAATAATGTCGCCGGGCCTTTTGATGTCCCATGCCATTTTCATCTTCGAATCCTGCAATTTGAAAATAATACACTACAAATTGAAGGAGAAGAGGTAGTGGAGAGCAGGGAGAGTGGTATATAAAGAGCGAGGGAATGTGAGACGAGAGCCCAGCTCGAATCATAAAGCGAAAGAAGATACCAATCCCCAGCAATGATTCTTCAGTGAGAAACAAAACGAGACACAACCATCGCTGAGAGTGAACCAGGTCTTCCAAAACAAGAGACAGGATGAGAAGAACGAAAAGAGAAGAAGAAGCGGTTGGAGTTCTTCACACCGACCTGGTACACTGTTGGATTCTTGTGCTAAAACATGCAAAAGTGAAAAACCGGACAATTATGTGGGATAAGTGAGAGACATGCTTACGACTGGATCGCCAGATGTCAAAAGAAAAATGGTCTCTACACTACACGAGACTACATGCTTCTCCTTAGGAACCAGGTGTGGATGCAGACCCTCACTGTAGATATGTATACTGTGGAATCCAAAAGAAAAAATGACAGCCACCTCGGAGGTTTACGAGAAGATGCCCGCGAATACTAGCTCAGTAACGAGCTAAGTGTCTGCTCATCTTTGGGGGATCCTGCCACCGACATGACTAGGCAGGCATAACATGGCATCCCTTTGAATGGGGCTGCTTTGCAACACACAACCAGCTTGCTGCCAAGTTTATGCACGGTATGTGCCACCTTGTATTGCTGAAGTTTGTATATTCGTTGTGTTTGCATCTATAGGGATTGCACGCCGAGTATGGATTGATCACCGCTGCGCATCACGCAGCGATGTAAAAAGGATGGAAATAGCATCGGATCAAACGAGGTACTCTCCCCACGTCATCTTTTCGGTTGAACTTGGAAAAGGCACTCTGTGTTTGCGATGAGCCAAAAAAAAAAAAAAAGATACAGGCTCATAAGGCAGTGAAATTGTGGCGTCGAAAGCTGAATGTCTTCCCCTCTCCAATGGCGAAGCTTGCAGCTGGTATTCCTAGACCAGACGATGAGAAGTCCTATAACGAATTTGTGTGCAGGGTTGTGTGGATGCATCACAACTTCAATCAGCGGCCCTCAAGTTCAGACGAGAGTGGCTGAGACACCAGACGCTTGACTCGGAATTAAAAAAGACCAGTTGCCCCCTCTCTCCCATGGCGGGCTGGGGTTGAAGCAGGTGTACTCCGTAGAGAGTCACTCCGTAGAGAGTCAGTCCTTGAGACCATGACCTGCAGCCAAGGGACATGCTTATGTTGGCTGCACATCGATTCTCGAGTTCCTCCGGGACATACTGCTTTGTGGGCAGAAGGTGGAAGCAGGGTGATGGTGGCCGCGGCAAGGGGTTCAGATGGCTTCGATCCAAAGCTGCGGAAAAGACGTGAAGGCAGAAGAAGAAACTTGCACGGCGTGGAACAAGTGCGGATGAAGTTGACAGGTTCGTGGAGAACTTCAGGGCAAGATCGACACTCTCCCGCGCCTATCTCGGTTTCTTCGGGACAGAGCTGCTGAGCACTTGAGCAGGCAGGGACGGGAGGGACTAGCTCCATTGTGCCTGCTTGACCCCACTGGGCATTATTCTGATAGGCCATTGGCCACTTTCCACGTCTGATGCAAGGGCGGTCTAGCTCTCCAAACGCCAACCATGTCGGCCATGGAGTGAATTGCAAGCCACAAGCGATAGAACAGAGTCAGAGACGCGCATGAATTCGAATCGCGGCCGTATTGCGCTCATAGATGTCGGCATAATCGCAAAATATCAATCACAAAAGCGACTCATTGGAGCTCACCAGATTTGACGATGCCAACGAGCCACGCGTTCTAAGTGGGAAAAATTGTTTTCAAGTGAAGGGTATCTCCCTCCCATCCTCCTTTTGCCTCGGGACACATATTCTGCGTCCCTTTTTTCAATAGCGCCCTGGCTCTGATCCAGCCTCTACTTGATGCCAGAAATGAGGCGCATCAATGGCAGTCTTCCCAGCGCCACGACGCACGCAAGCTATGAACTGTGCGAGGGCAAACGAAATCACGGGCACTGTGTTGATTTGCGGAGTGGGATACACTCGACATTTCCGGCCAGTGAGTGAGTGAGTGGGTGAGTCTTCCCTTTGTGTGCCATTACCCACCCTCCCTTCTCCCTGATCTCCGGCGGTTTGGTATGCATTACGAAGTATGACATTACCTCCTCTTCCGATATTGTCAATTCATTACTTCGTACATACTCAGTGATCCCGGTATTCCATGGGAAGTCATTGATGATCAATATCGGTCAAGTTTGGAATAGATTAATACATCGCTGCCTTGGTGGCAGTCCACCCAATACCCAACTTGTTCTCGCCTTACTGCTAATCCCATACCAGAACGATTCCAGCAGCTTTACTGCAGCAAGGCAGTTTCTCAGTATTCGGGCTCTGCCGGATCGTCAACTGACCTCCATGTCCTCTGAACAGTTGCGGACCCGCGTTGTGTATCCCTCTCAGTGCTGGAGGTTATTGAAAGCCCAATATTTATGACGCGCACGAACTATTGAACACACATTCGCTTCTGTTACTCATATGATTCCTGATTTTTTTTTTGAAGGAACCTAGCCGCCATGCCTGCTAGCTACTCAGAGCCAAAGGATGCCACTTAGATCATCGTATATGACCTGCTTTTAAGATCTCCAGCATGTGGTGCACGCCCGGTCAATGGTCTGATGACCAAGGCATCTCTCAGATGCCTGCTAAGAATTGTACTAGGCCTACAAAAGAGCATGTGCTCGGGTTGGACTCGGACCATGCCTCAAGCTGGCCATTTCCCAAAGAAATACAGCTCAGTTAGTACATCCACGTTCTGCTAAATTGTTCACTCTGCATCTCATCATCCTTCAACCTTATTTTCGAGCCTCCATGATTGAGGCTATGCTACCCCCAAATTTTCTCCACACGGCTTGAAAGTTCCAAATCCAAACAGTAGAAATAGCCAGAAACCACAACAAGTCATTCGTCTTTGTTTACCAACGCCTCCACTGACGTGATTATACGAGGGCTGACATGGCAGAATAAACATGAGTGATATAAATTCAATAAAGCAGATTATAACTTCGGAAGAGCGGATCTCTTGACATCTTACTATCCCATGAACATATCACTTCTACCCAAAATTTGCTGACCGGTCTTGAAATTCCGCCACAAGGTGCTTGGAAGGCGATGGTTCGTTGTCTCAATAGGGTACTTGACGAACAACGTAGGCTTCCTTGGCAATTCATCCTTCACTAAAAAGCCCGAGAAGCGAGAATCGACAGGCTGTTAGGCATTATTAATCTTTCTACCTGAAACAAGCCTTATATTCGCCCGCGATATTACAGGATGCTCCCAGGATCAAAGACATAACTCGATAACTCACGAATGACACATAGCCTACAGTAGGTCCTCTCTGGCATACGTGTTTCGACGGTCAAGCTGGCACAAGATGCTCAGTCCCGGCACCTAAATCTGTGAAATTATGACAGCTTTAGATGAGGGGGAAGCCTCTTGCACAGTCGACGCCTCCACAGCCATGAGCAGCGTGGTCGTTCGCACAACCAATTCTACGCCCGTGTGGAATGTCAGAAGCTGTCTCTCACAAATTCTTAATGACTTCAAAACTGGACCAGCTGACATACCTTCGTAGATCAAGGTATAAGATACTGGTGAATCGTCGCCCGGGCCACTGAGCAACGGCAGCCGCTCGGCTGGTCCAAGCACAACCCGAAATCTTAGGCCAACGTTCTTGCCCACATCAACCCATAGAAACTTGTCAAGATCGATTATCTTGGAGTTCAAGCCCTCATCAGCACCATTCAAATTCGACTTCTCTGCCAGCCATCCCCGCCATACGCGAATAATGCCGTCACACGTATTCACCTGACTGACGAAGAATCCTGGCTTTGAGGCCTCCTTCACCACGTACGTGACGGCGCAAAGTTGTGAAAACAACAAATCATGGTCAAGGTAGACGTCCTGAGTGGCAGTCTCATCACTCTGCAAAGACTTGCTCCCTGTCTGTCGCGAAGCTCTCGGCCTATCGCGGTTCTCTTCCTTCAAAACTGGACGATAAGACGAGTATAATTTGCTGAGGTCACTAAACTTGAGGGATTCGTCTGTGATGGGTTGCTCGCTCACTCGCTTTAGACCAAGATACCTGCATGATAATGGCGGTGTCGTTAGTCTTTCGCTTGGGTGGTAGCAATCGAGAATGAGTCGATTGTGCGGAAGAGGCGATACGTCGATCAAGCGGCGATAGAGAATCCGGGTGGCGAGTGTGTAGAAGCAGCGGCTGACCGGGACGACTTGAATGAGCTCCCTTGTCGAGAGGCATCCCAACGATGCAGCCAACAACTAATTATATCGTCTAAGCAAAACTGGAATCAGCCGGGCGGCGCGCAGATTTACCTCGTTGGGTAGAGCCTCCATTGGGCATGTGGTTGTGGCCATGGTTCACCAATTATCCGGGCCAGGCTATTGAGAATGGTTGAAGCTGAAGTGATGACTGCCTATGGATCACAAGCCGGAACCTTGTTCGGCCGACATGGCCAAAGAGTTCTTGGGGACTGAGTGAGCTGTGATGCTCGACAGAGTGCTCTTGGTTGGTGGTCGACGCCACATGGCCATATCTAAGCACCTAGTAGGCGATGAGCGTTGACAGTGACCGGCAGTTGTGAAAATGCGGAACCGGAGACGTGTCAATAACGCCATTAGCCATGTTGCCTGTCATGGCATCGTCTCGTCCCATCTTACTAAGCTGCCAGGCCATTCTCTAGTCATCCCGACGCCATCTCGCCGTTCAGCTTCATCACCATGCTATGCGCTGCCGGATGCCAGGGGACCGTGGCTGCAAGCAAAAGAATCACTTAGAATGGAAATGGACTACAACTACATACGTATACATGGTGGCAATGACAGCACGTCCTATTGCAGTTAAAATGGTTGGCTCTGCCGGCGAGAAGATGGGAGAATGCGAAAATTCAAAGTCGCAACAATGCAACGTACGGGGCGGGAAACCACCAAAGCTACCATCAAATAGTTTTTCTGTCACATGTTGGGCTTTGAGAAAGCACGGGGCCTCAGTCTTGTAGGGTTGGGGTTAGGGTCAAAGCCTGAGGATCAAAATTACCAGACGAAATCAAGCGCGGACGATTTTCTGGAGTTAGGGTAGGGTCCGACCAGTTGACCGGGAATATTAAAGCCTAAACACCTTATACTCCGTACCTAACAGTCAACCTTGGAAGTTACTCGTCTGTCCCGCAAGTAATACCTACTACTACCTAGCTCGCGCGCGGCCCCTGGTTCTGGTGACAGCATTCTATCACAAGACAGGTCTTAAAATTATCACCAGCTATTAGAAGTCTGATATATTGAATGGAAAACTCTAATAAGGTGTCTTGTATAGCTGATGATTTGGTGACAGTCACCAAAACTACCCCCCCGGCCTCCTACCTAAGTAAGTACTAGGTACCAGGTATGGCCCCCCATGTTCGATTTCCACGGCTAATCGCGCTCACGTCGGCTCTCCATAACTTGCTCCCCGGGACAGCAGTTGCAACACCCCACTCTAAACTCACTTCAACCACACCTTCACGGTCCTAGTCAAACTCCAACTTTCAAAGCGCAAACTCGCTTCGTGGCAATGTCGACCGACCCTGCGCTGATGCCGTCGCCGCCCGCCGACCTCACCCAAACCACGCAACAGACGACCAAGGAAAGGCATTCTTTAACCCTAGATCAACGCCGCGCACTGCGGAGGTGGGCCGAATCCCAAACCATCCGCCCACCGCACAAGGCCTGCATCGCATGGTTCCATTCACAGTTTGGCCAGCAAATCAGTCAGTCAACCGTGTCTCATTCCCTGTCAGCAAAATACTCGCGGCTGGACGGAAACAACCCACAACTTTCTGGCTCGCGCCTGCGATTTGGCAATTGGCCCGACGTCGAAAAGCTCGTGCTCCTCTGGTATCGACAAGCCCAGGCTGCAGGGCGACCGCCAACGAACGACGAGCTGGGCGAGAAGGCAAAATCTATATTTTTGCAACTACCGCGGTACAGGGGCCAAAACGTGCCTGAGTTCTCTCCCGGCTGGATACATCGCTTCAAGAAACGCTATAGCCTTCTGGTCCGCCGGCAACGCCGATCAGGGGACGGTGGCATCAACCTCGCCGAGGATATCGACTACCTAGCCGACTGTGTTCCCAGGGTGATGGCAGTCACGTCTGATACGAGTCCTGCCGCAATCAAGGAACAAGTTCTGCGCGTGGTGGGCGTGGAAGCCAGTCTGAACACCTGCGCCTTGGTGCGAGACGAGGTCCTGAGAAGAATGAGCGCCTCATCAAACCATTCACTGCTGCCGCAACAGGCCGTCCCCCAACCCGAACCTATTCCTCCGCCTCCGCCTCCACCTCCGCCCCCGTCTGAGCAACCAATGTATGCCGACGACGATCCCGAGGTCGTTCTTCAAAACGCTTTGCGCCAGCTCCAACAAGAGGAGCAGGCGGCCGAAGAACAAGCTGCTGCGGTCCGAGAGGAGAGAGAGCGCGTTGAGCGGGCTGGGATACATGTGGCCGGCATGGTCGCTACACCAGGCCCACAGGACTCTTCTTCCGACCCGCGGTATACAATGCCTGCACAGGAAATAGGTGGTCACGATCTGACTCTAACACCAATTCACTCCGACGGACCAGTCTCTTCCAATGACCGGCCCATACGCTGCCCCTTCTGCGTAAATCAGCGCATGTTACGTACAATCAAAGAAGCTGTGGAACACATGTCTACGCATGTCGTCGTTTGAGCGGTAAAGAGTGGCGTTCTCTTCCACTGTTTGATCACCGTATTGTTGTTTCCGTGTTTTTTTTCTTTTCAAATGGTAAATAGTGATGGGATTAATCTTTAATACCTAGGTCACAGGGCTGGGGTTAAAGAATGAGGCATAGCGTTTAGGATCGTAATAGACATCGGTTAGGGCCATGGCAGCAATCAATCAGGCGGATGAGTCCTTACTCGGGGCACAAGCAATTGTGAATATAACTTGTGGCGTGCAACAAATTAATAAACAAGCCGGTAGGCATGAGCTCACCAACACTAATGATGGGCACAATATCACTTGAAGTCCAGGTTGTGCATCCGACTGCCCACGTGTTAGCCCTGCGCATGGCTTCTTGCGCAAGTCTGGTATTCTATATGAATCCGCTATCCTGTAATGCTTTTATGACAGCCTCTTGTTCAAGCCTGGCCTTGCTCTTTGGCGGGGGGGCATCACCCGTATCTATGTAATTCTTCCAGAACTTTAACCCCTCCAACCCTTCTTCTCTGCATAAAGCGCCGTGCTCTTCTGCCATTAGTAACTCCTCCTCGGCAACACCAATGCTCCAACCAAATCGTTCCGCAGTTTCCAGGGCCGTGACACCACGTCCAAATTCTCTCCAATCCCAGGTGACTTCTCGCTCTGGGGGAAATTCGTGTAGATCTTGCAGCCAGGACAGCAGCGATTTGATAGTCGTGTCGTCGGTTCGATCGTGGCTCTGAACTACCATTACACCGCTACGAAAAGTTCGCAGCCGGACTGGAAGCTTTAGGCTTTCCCATAAACGTGCAGCTTTCTCAAAGTCCAAGGGGCTGACAAGCTCGACACCCCCTCTTGCTCTGTTGAACATGGCCCACAAATCGACGAGCGTGATGATGCCTCCGGCTCGTTTCAAGACCCCTCTCGAGTCATCAGCCAGAAACTCGGCAAGATTCCGAGATAGTTCAGATATATATAGATACTCAGAACTTCCGCCAGCAACAATATCCTTTGTAGTAACCAAGCCTAGTTGGCTTGCGGATTCTGCCAAGATGGCATTTTCCTCGGCTGAAGCTCCGCCAGTGGCACCATTCGTTTGGCGAGCATATCGTTCTGCGAGAGCAATGACTTCCTTTGCTGACGACATCAACGCCTCAAGATCTTCAAACGCATTGCCAATCAGAATTTCGTTGTTCTTATGCATATTGAGACCCAACTGTTCCAGGCCTGCAATACCCGCAGTCTTGGTTCTACTGGTCGATGTATCTGATGAACCAGCTACTGTATTTGGATCTGCACTCCTTCCGTTTTTAGGAACCGGAGGAGCATTCTGTAGTAACCATTTTCTTTGTGTTATGGCTCCCTTCAGCCTCTCATAGAATATCTGCATACCCCCGCCCCGAAAAGAAATCTTGATACTTTCAGCCACGTCGATGCCTGAAGGAGCATTGCTGGGGGCCTCGTGGACAGGACCCGGGGACTCCGTACGAACTGTGGGCGATTCGGTTTCAATGCTAGGGGTATTCTGTGACAAAAGTGGCGCGCCACAAATCTCACAGGCAAGTAGTGACGGATGATTTGAAAATGTGCACCGCGGACACGCAAAGGATGCCCCAGCATCGGCCGAGGAACTTGGCCTGTTTTGCCCAAGTGTTTGCCCGTGGCTTTGCTGAAAAGAATCCCGAGGGTTTATTGATGTTGTTAACAGGGCATTAGATTCATGTTGTCGATTCGAGAGCGGACTTGAGCCAGAAAAAGAGTTTATTACGGGCGTTGGACGTTGACTGGCGTTGTTAATGGCTGCTTTTAGAACATGTGCCAATGTTGGCTTGATTCCACATGCAAGGCATTGCGGTAGCGGCGTATGCGCGTTCGCCGCCGCAGGATCAAAGTTCACTGGTATAGGATTAGAGAAGCTGCAAATAGTGCAGACCCAAGTGGCCGTCGTCACTTGGGGAGGCTCTGGTGGAGGTCTATGGGCACTGTCCCTTTGCCCAGGAGATGCAGAGTTGTTTCTCAAAGGAGGTGCTGCATTGGATAAAGCTCGATTATGAAGCGAGGAGCGCTTCAAGGGCTTAGGAAAGATGGTGATTTTGGGTGACGACTTCAGAAACCCGGCATAGAAGTCATATCGGTCAATGTCCTTGAGATCCAATGCCATAGAATTTTGAACCTTGATTCCACATGCAAGGCATGGCGGTAGCGGCGTATGCGCGTTCGCCGCCGCAGGATCAAAGTTCACTGGTATAGGATTAGAGAAGCTGCAAATAGTGCAGACCCAAGTGGCCGTCGTCACTTGGGGAGGCTCTGGTGGAGGTCTATGGGCACTGTCCCTTTGCCCAGGAGATGCAGAGTTGTTTCTCAAAGGAGGTGCTGCATTGGATAAAGCTCGATTATGAAGCGAGGAGCGCTTCAAGGGCTTAGGAAAGATGGTGATTTTGGGTGACGACTTCAGAAACCCGGCATAGAAGTCATATCGGTCAATGTCCTTGAGATCCAATGCCATAGAATTTGTTCTAGGCTTAGCCTTGTCAACATAACAGATTCGATGGGATGTCAAGTAAACTTGGCCATTCTGGTGATCCGGGAGCTTTAGCTTCCTGTTATAACCTGTTAATAAAACCCTATCTTCATTGATCGGGGTCCGAGTGGCGGAGCTCACCCTTCATAGAGCCCAACATTGTCCTGCACAAACAATAAGATCTCATCTGGCAAGTAAGACGGTCGCAATGCAGTGGTCAGATCTATATGTTTCAGAAACATTCGTCATGTCGTAGTGGCTGGTTAGCCGGGAGATGATGCCCAGATGCAAAGCGGTCCTGATTGTGTTATATGTGCTGATAAAGAAGCTGATGCTCGGCTATGGTCGGTAATACAACTAACAACGGTGTCGAAGATAGCACAGAGCTATGGTGCCTAGTCCAAAGGTTATGTTGTGAGGGTTGAAGGTTGCATGTAATAAAAGTGTTGAGCTAAGGAAATGTAGATCATATCATGTCGACAGCACTCCCAGATGACTTGCCGAACGTATGTTGAACTCGCTGGGTCATTCATGATGCAAGACAGACCCACCCACACACTTCGTTCTATTAGCCGATGATCTGCCGGCTCGTCACGGGTTTGGGCATTTAGACTCTCATCCACCCACAAATGCGATTTCCTCTTCTCCAACTTCCACACCGTCAGTTCGGCCACATCCAGTCCAATATTTTCGACAATCGCTACGCCTGCCCACTTTGAGCCGATATACACAGGCACTTAAGCTATTTCAACCAAAAAAGCTAACATTCAGTAAATCGACTATCCAGCACTATGTTGCCAGGGTGGTCGGCCTCACAGCAGGCACCTGGCGTCTCACAACGGACCCAGCCGGTCGGGTACAGTTATGCTGCCAGTAAGAAACCTCACCAACCTCCGTCTCTCTATATACAGAATCGATCAGCTGACAAGCAAAGGTCCTGCCTTTGTTCCAGTCCAAGTCCGCCAGGGCTTCAGCCAGTACGCTCCTCCAACACCTCCGTACCCAGGACATGTGCCGCCTTCCGTTGGCGCCCAGTCTCCTGCACAAGCAGAGCAGCCCAAGCCGAAGACGGAGTGGCCTGAATCTGTCCGGAAATATGTTCAGCGATCCTTCCTTCCCGAAAACGACGATCCGACCGTGTCTCGCGCAGAGGTCGAGGCCAAGCTTAAGGAGACCATTGGCACAGCCAAAGAAAATGGCACTTTGTATACCATAGACTGGGATGCTGTCCCTTTGCCGCAAGCCCTCGTGAAAGCCGACCGTGACGCACTGTATAACAGCGGTAATCACACGCCATCATCTTCTGAATCTCTCGCCAACTCCAGGAAAAGAAAGTCTTCCGATTCTGTCGACGTTGGATCTAACCAACCACCGTGGCATAATGCTAACTCGCGATCATCCCTTGAGAACCGTATTTCATATCCATCACCAGACAAACGCTCCACATTCGACGACAACTTGGCGAAATCAAGTAAGTTACAAAAAGAGGCCGCCAGTAAACGCAAACGTCGCTTCGAGAGCGAATACAAGGCTGTATACAGATCACCTAGTCCAACTCCACCCTCCTCGGGTCCAATCATTGGAACCAGTGAGGTGTTGGAAAAGAGGTATCTTCGCCTAACTGCTCCTCCTATTCCTTCCAATGTTCGACCTGTGCACATCCTGCGCCAAACTTTGGACTTGCTGAAGAAGAAGTGGAGGAAGGAGGGGAATTATTCATATATTTGCGACCAATTCAAATCCATGCGACAGGATCTCACTGTTCAACGCATTAAAACCGATTTCACTGTCTCCGTCTATGAGATACATGCCCGGATCGCCTTGGAAAAGGGGGACATCGGTGAGTATAACCAGTGCCAGACCCAGCTTCGTTCCCTCTATTCTCTGGGGTTAAAAGGCAATCCTATCGAGTTCAAAGCGTATCGTATTCTTTATTTCATTCATACTGCCAATCGTACCGGTCTGAACGACACGTTGGCAGATCTAACCGCAGCAGAAAAGGAGGAAAGGCCAATTAAGCATGCTTTGCAAGTTCGGTCGGCTTTGGCTTTGGGGAATTATCACAAGTTCTTCCAGCTATACCTTGACACGCCCAATATGGGCGCATATCTTCTGGATATGTTTGTCGCCAGAGAACGTCTTGCTGCATTGTGTAATATCTGCAAAAGGTTTGTTTCATGCCGTTTGTGAAGCTGATACAAAAAAGCAAATGCTAATACTTTCGTAGTTATAAACCTGATGTTAAGCTGCGTTTCGTCACTGAAGAATTGGGCTTCGAGTCTGATGCCGATGCTGCCCAGTTCATAATCGACCACAGCGGACAGCACCTGCTGGAAGACCGCTCAGATAACATTGTTTTTCTGAGTGGGAAGGCCGGCCAGCTATTTGAATCATCCAGATCCGAAGCTTTTCGAAAAGTTGACATCAAGGGACAGATCTAACCTTGGATGAGCTTTCCTTGTTGTTCAAGTTCAAGCATCTGCCCCTCACACCATATGTTTCAGCCCCCTTGGCAACAGTAGATTGCCACCACGCGTGTCGTTGAACCATGACGATTCACGTGACGGTGACGCTTTTGTACAGGTGGATCACAGTGTACGCTGTCAAATCTCTAAGGAAGTTGTGGCGAATTGGGAGCCCATGGCCTCCCCCGACCGCCTGGAGAAATGAAATCGCACTCCGGTTTGACTTGACCTGCTATCGGCCTGGAAAATATTGCGAGCCAGAGCTATACGCCAATCTCAATCCTAACTAAACCTCAGAGCTTGTATTGGGCAACCTGGCCGGGTTGAAACCATATCACGACTACGATTCCCATGACGGTTTTTCTTTTTTTTTCTTTCTTGATTTGCCTTTTTCATTCAATGTAGCGGGGCGGTTTGCTACATATATTTGCGTCTTTGATCCCGACCTGATACCCATGACCCTTGGCATTCAATGCGACGAGCAACGAAACATAGCTTCCCCAATCTCAACACGTAAAATAACCGACGATACCTTCCGCAATTGACAATAGAGCATACTGATACGGAGATCATTCTGGATATGATGACTAGTGTGGGAACGTGTATTGCTTCATAGTTTAGCCTAGCATATTTAATCAGATACATTTCTTGCCATGCCCGACCAGACACACAGTCCCAGTTGCCTGCCAACCTCGCATTGAAGGTGGATGCTGCTACTTGACGTGGCAATAGTCTCCTTATGACGTGGTGAGTTCTATACTGGGTAGTCAAAGTAGGACCCGTGGTGTGACTGGTGGTCCAGAGTCGATCAAGTTGGCCACGGATACACCTGCTAAGCCACCCAGGCATCATGTTTGATGGTTTACTGGCCTCTTGTTACATACCACCGTCCGTTTACGCAACCAAATGCTGGCAACTCATAGAAAAACGACAAAATGGCTCCCTTGTCGTGGCGGAGCTCTGAATGCGCCTTGGGGCTGACTTCTGCATCATCAGAAGCCCGGCTGAGGCGCCGACCCTGAAGCTACATCTGGAGCATATTCTAGAAGCGGATTGTTAGCGCCGGCGCGGTTATGATCGCTTCTTATAAGTTCTAATCTCATCTCATTTGCTTCCTCAGCCCCGCACCGAGTAGCACGGATCACAACCCCTAGTTACTCCGTTGGTGAGCTTTGTCTGAGTTGCTTTCTGTTTACAAATGGTATTTTTTTTTTTTCGCAGGTCGATTAGGCTTCGAAAAGGTATATATTATTCCATATAGCCTATGTTGGGCCAATCCAGTCTACAGAGCTATCAAGTGCAACAAGCCTTTATCAACCACCCTCGACATTCCTTCGATTACTTGTTATCCTTTCTTTCCAGTCACCGCAAAGTTCATTTATTGATTCAGACCAGGCACATGCCCTGGACGTGTTCCGGACACACCCTCGGCATGAGATTGACGCCAAGTGCAAGGTTGTCGAGTCTCTGCGGCTAACACTCAGTGACATACTTGAGAAGCGCATAGAAACAGAACAGAATCGAGACACCTCCCTCCGCGGAGGAGCAAACAACAAGGCAACAATGGACTTGTTCCAGTACGTGACCGCCAAATGGGATTCCATATGGCTTCGGCACAGGGCGCTTCTCCTCGTGGGTTCCTAGAATCAAGGCTGAGCGAGAAACAGACCGGTTGAGTGGTGTCTGGTTGCTTTGTTTTACACCCGTGCCACCGGAGCAAGTGGAAGCGGCAGCATCCAAAGGGGCATCAGTCCGGTTAAGTATGGCGAGGAAAAAGGTAAGGCGGTAGCCTTAAAGTCATGGGCGGCACTACAAATCGCAATTTTGCAGTTTTACATGTATTTGCAGCTTTCAATGTTCGTTCTTCTTTTGTGTTTCGCCGCGATGAGAGGGCAAGGCTTGCTGGCCCGTGACGGCCAAAAAAAAAAGAGAAAGGTTATGAGGCGAAACACTTGAACAGACTGGAAAAACAAATGATCGATTGTAGCCATGAGCTTGCATAGCGTCGCGTTCATGACGTCCAACGCAAGCTGAACAGTGAAGCCTTCTATTTTAACGACCGGGCACGCTTGGCATCCTGATCCAACAGAGTATAAGGAACAAAAAAGACAAGGGTGAAATGCCGCTGTATCTCGACAATCGCTGCCAAAGTTGAAAGCCCCCAATTAACTTCTATCCCAGTTATATCTGTATACCACCTGTTTGACGTATAAGGACTCACATCCACAGTTCGACCCATCAGTCTTCCTTGGCCTTCCCACCAAAATGGCCATCCAGACAGACACAACGCGGCCGTGTTTCCAGTTACGCATATCTATGCGGTTCGATTATCACACTCTTTGGTTTTTTCCAGAAATCTTGAAACGGAAAATCACAGAAAATCACAGATAAACGGATAAGCCGCGCAAACCAAACTTGTACATGGAGTATCCAATCTGCCAAAGGCAAACATCGGCAGGACGAATATCCGTCCATGCAGTCCCTCGCCCAGTCCATGAGAAGGGTCAAATGCATTGTTTCAGAGGTGCGATAAAAACAGGGATGGTGGTGGATGGAGAGCTGCAACATGGCATGGTTGACCTTGACTTCTGCTTTTCTCCTTGCACATAAATAGTACCAACCAACCCGTGTTCGAGGCAAAAATTATTTGACCAGATGAAGTACCCGGCCATCGTGCTAAATACTCCAATATACCATGGTGACCATGGTATATCAGAACATACTTCTTCTTAGACAAATATATTCAGCCACAAACTGTACTTTGTGTGTGTCGATCGCTAGGTATAACGTCTCTACCAGTACCAAACGGTGCACCAAACAGTTGCCGGGTGTGATGGGATGGGAAGGACTTCTTTGCTTCCCGCCGTCTCGGACTGGAAACAATTATTAATTTTCAAGACCGACTCTGAAGTGATGGCTTTTCCGGGGGCCGCGTGGGCTCGGGCTATTATGCGCATGGACGATCAGTGTGGCGGAGGGGCCCAAGGGTCTGGGCGGCCATGTGCCAGAATTGGCTATCAAAGCCGTGTTTGGGGTTTTGGAGACGAAGTGGAGAGAATCATGGCGATTGTGTGTGTGTTTTGCCAGTTTTGTGGCGTGCTGATGCGCCATCGACGGCGTATGCCGACAAAGTTGCACTCTGTGCTCTACTACTCCGTGCTCTGTCCTGTATACTCTTGATCTTGGCCACAGTGCATATGGTTGGTGTCATGCTGGGCACATGCAACGTTCGCTCCAAGCTTCAACAGAGTCGGGCATTGCCATATTGGTGCCATCCGTCTCTGTCCACTCGAGTCAATATCGATGTTATGCAAGTATGACAGATGCAGAGTTGGCAGGTGGGCTGCTCCTCTGCCTCCTCTGCCACTTGGTGGCTCCCGGGCTGAATCGGAAAGGGTGGTGGAGCATTTCAGCATGTGGGCTTAGCCTGGAGATGATGAAACACAGAAACTAGTTGTGGGGTGCATATGTTGTAGAATGCCATCGGGGGCACTGGTTGTGAACATCGTTACGCTGTAGCTGATTGCCAGAGTCCATCTCAGGCTGCGGACTGAGTGGGGGATGGCATCGTGTAGAACATCCGCGGGGAAGGAATGTCAAGACGCCATCGGCTGCCACTTTTCACATACTAGGAGCAAACAACATGGATTACTCTCCAATAAACGTCATCCGTAGAATCATGGCGTTTAAAGGCGTAGAATTTTGAGGCCCAGGTAATACGGTACTTTTGCTGTACGACTCTTCAGCTGTTTTTGCACATCAACGGCCAACATGTCGTACATCAGCTAGACGCGAGAAGCAACCGTCTTTGGTGGGACAAGATGGAATAGAAAATGGCCAAGATCAAACAACCGTTGAGCGATGCCACCCACCTTCATGTTGTAGTCGACTTCAACGGACGCAGGGGTGCGGCGAAGCGCCGCCAATATTGTATGCATGCATGCATGCAAGCACTCCAGACCACTGAAAGCCGCAGCTGCATGGCTGGCTTCAGGGATGCCGGGCTTCAACATGTCCGGCCCCAGCAGTTATCGTATTACCGAGTATATGATGCCCAGTTATGATCCTGGCCATGTCTCTGCGCTCAGCGGGAGGGCGTGCGTGCATGCGTATGTATGTGCACATTGGAAAGATACCGCATGGTTGCGTAAAGTAGCTGTTGTAAAGTAGCTGTTGTAAAGTGAGTGGCTGGTATCAAGGGGGGCGCTTCTATCCTCGAGTACTCCGTATGCTTCTATGCTCTGAACCTTCAAATGTTGTATTAAGTAATGGTCGGGAGGTCGAGGTTGGACAAGGATCAAGAAGAAGAGGAAGCCGCATAGACGCAATGCAAACAAAGAAAGGCAGAGTTGCACAGTACGGCAAGGTTGTATTGAACATTGCGAGAATAGAGTATTGACAGCCGCTGGCCGCAAGACACCGTCTCGCGATTGGGTTGCTGCCCACCACAAAGGAGCGACCTTGAGGCTGGTACTAACCACACAATGACACCCCCCTTGGGCTCCATGCCTGGTCGCTCCTGCCGTCCCGGTGACCCAGGTCAGTTGAACCAGCGAAATCTGCATCGTTGCCTGTAGCTTGATGCCACTAGTATTTGTATTTGGCAGTCAATCAACTCGACTTTTAGTATGGGACTCTTTGCTCCTTGGGGATGACATCCATGTTTGCTCGACAGGCAAACACCACGGCAAAGCAAGACCAAAGTCCAGGTAGGTAACCCCTACGTAGGTATTCAAGCCCTCGTCATGCTGCAAGCTACCCAAGCCGGCGGCAAAGGCTCCCAACGAGCTTGACATGTTTTGCCGAAGTCCTGCATGTGCTGGCGTGGTGTGTATGTACTTCCTAAGTGTTCCGTGCCCAAGCAACCGTGTAATTGCCCAGTCTCGGGTTTCTGGCAGATTCCTCGCCATTAATGATGTTGTGATGAGTACCTAGGTAGTTCGGAACGTTGAATTGATGCGCCTCCATGGGATGGAGTATGGAGTCCATGATATTCACTTCACCAAGTACTCGCCGTCTTAGTCCCCAATATCCATGCCTGCATGTAGTCAATTCGTCATCGGTGTCAGTAGAGAGTAGTGACAAATAGCTGGAGGCCAGGTCTGGGTGTTATCATCCATCAATCACACCAGGCTCGACTTGATCCTAGTCATATCTGCCCAGATGCTCGAGTGGACAGACATGCATAACGTTGATATCACACACCACTAAAACGGCCCGAGTGTATATGTTAGAATCCACCACTTCCCTTCAAGTTCTTATACTCCCTGCTTCCCTCTTGTACATATCTGCTGAAGTATATCTTCTAGGCCAGTCCCCATATCTCCATATCGCCTTGATATTCGGTAACGCCCTAACGTTGGTCGGTGGCTCTTTCTTTTTCTTATCATCCTCCTTTCTTTTTCGGCCTGCGCTCGCCGGCTCCGCTGTCGTCATACTTGCCGTGAAACATTGTTGTTGACCTTCTCCCTCGATCTGCTACCTACCCTTTCTTGGCGTATCGCCCTGGCTTTCTCACCCTCGAATCTATTGAGCCATATCCAAAATAAAAGCTATTTGCCAAGCAACATCAATAATATAAAATTGTCGAAGACGACATACCTCGAAGCCCCCGAGAAAATACGAGTTTCTGTTCACAACTGTCTTATCAGCTCTTCGTTCGTACAGGTACGACCTGAGAATTCGAGCACCAACAGTTATTTGCGCCGCGATTCCTCCGCCCAACAAGACATTCATTCAACCCTCTTCCGTCGCTTGCTCAATCCAAGATTGTCCGCCATCTCCGCGCAAAGACGCGTACACTGGGCATCTTTCGCCAGCGCGAGAGGCAACCTCCGCCGTGTATTTTTCTTCTGCCTTGGAGAACCTTCAAGTCCACAGTCCGCATACTAACAGGAACAGCCGCAGTCGAAGCAAGCCGGCGAATTTGACTTTGCGCCAGTCTCCAACGATCAAACGGCTGCCATTAACGCCCCCCTCTTGAGCGTTGCCAGGCCTGCTTATTATTGTCCAGCTTTGAAAAGTCGCTGCTTTCGCTGTCGAGGCGCCTCCAGCGTCTCCACCCTCGAATCCACCGACCACCGACCCAAAGGCCTGAGCCAAGCTACTGGACCATTTTGACCTCTAGGCGACATCGACGTGTGCGACCGAACCACCAAACCGGCTAGGACCCAGAGACCGGGTAGACCAGGTTGACCTTGCTGGGCTGATTGTTAGTAACGCCAAGTGGATTTGTCGTGGGTTGATCGAACAGGACAAGGAACAGGCACAGGCACGGGCAAATTAACTGCGCCCCCCTTCAAACTGCTCACCTTTTGCACTTCCTACCTACTTTGGACCCTTCCGTCTCTCACCTTTCGGTGCGACAACTTGTCTTCCTTTGCTGTCGTTTTGCTGCCAACCCTCGCCGCAAAGCCGCAGAGTGAGTCGTACAGGATGAAGGTACGTTGCCGTCCATTTCTCAATAGCGTCGTCATGCGCATCTCGAATTCTCATCTGCGCACTCGTTTGGTTCATGGTTGCAGCCCTGCATTCCGGTCCTCGTCACTGCACAACTTCCCTTTGCCGCATTTTGTCTCGAGGACCTTGGCAAGCTGTCGTGCGTTTCCCCGTGCGTTCTTGTTCTCGCCCAGATGCACCTGCCTCGTTGCCTAGTTACGTGGCGAGACGGTTCAAGCACCTACGCGCACAGTTGCTCCTTCCTTTGCTTTGTCTCGCTCGCTTTCATTTTCACCCCGCACCGAGTACCATATGTTTTGCCACGCCGCCATGATCCGACATACCCAAACTACTCCATATATCTTACAAAGATTCTCGACTTGCTAATCTTCATGGCCTTCATGCAGGCTCTTCGTCGGTCCATCAAGGGCGACAAGGAAAAGCAGCACCACAACTCAATAGGGACCAAGTCTGCTGTCGCCATCATCCCACCCAAAAAGGTTCGTTCCTCAACCTCTCACCTCGGCAGTACACCCCTTCCCACGACCCAGCCCATTCCCTCCCGCGGCAATGTGGCATTCACCGAATATCGAGAGATACAGTTGCAGCGGATTCGAGGATACAACATTCTTTCCTTTTACTGTTCTTCTTCTCCTTGGGCGTCTGGAGAAAGGTGCCCTTTCTCCAGACGCCCATGCCATTAGTCTCTCCTCCCCCTGCAAGTGTTTCTGTATTAACATTTGGTCTCCCCGCAGGTGATTCGAGCGTTGTACGACTATGAAGCCCAGTCATCGCAAGAATTGAGCTTTTCCAAAGGAGATTTTTTCCACGTTATTGGCCGCGAGAATGACCAAGACTGGTATGAGGCATGCAATCCTGCCCTGCCGGATGCCCGAGGCCTCGTCCCGGTCGCCTTCTTCCAAGCCTTAGGTCGTACCGAGCGAGACAGTGCCCAGTCAGACAATAGCAGGCCTCCCACTGCGAAAAGTCCCGACCATGACTCTGGTTACAGCGAAAATGCCCCGCACCCCATTACTACGGCCGTACCAATCACCCACCGTAGTACCAAGTCTACCGATATTGACAACAAAATTTTCGCCACCGTTATGTATGATTTCGAGGCCCAGCGGCCAGACGAGTTGGGCGCTACCAAGAATGAGCAAATCATCATCATCGCCCAGTCCACCCCAGAGTGGTTCGTTGCCAAGCCCATCGCAAGACTGGGCGGCCCTGGCTTGATTCCCGTCTCGTACGTCGAGATTCGCTATGTGAGGACTAAAGAGGTTGTTCCCAACGCAGTGGAAGCTGTAAAGAGAGCCGGGGTTCCGAGTGTGGAGGAATGGAAGAGGATGGCGGCAAACTATAAGAATAGCAGCATTACTCTGGGTAAGTTTGCGGGCGCTGGTGCGGGTGATCAACGGGCAGTTGAGCAAGGTATGGAGAGTATGAGCTTTCAAGAAGGGAGACAGAGCGCATATAACGGATCGCAGGTATGGCCTCATTTATCCAGCCACCGCAGCGGTTTCCCTGCACTGTTACTTTTTACCATCTTTTTGTTCCCGTGTACTAATTTATCTCTCACGTAGCATCGTGCTGGGCAACACAGCATCTCCCAGTCCCAACAATATGCTCACAACCAGGAAGCAACTCCAGTATACGCGCCAGTCAAAGCTTGGATACCTCGATACTGCTTTGCCGAAGACAAATATTGGTTTGTTATCGTGGCTGTTCTTGAAGATGGCAGCCAATGGGAACTCTCGCGATACTACGAAGATTTTTACGATTTCCAGATTTGCCTTCTCAACCAATTTCCTTCAGAGGCTGGTCATGCCGGAACGAATTCAAAAAGGACTCTACCATATATGCCAGGTCCTGTCAGTTATGTCACCGATGCAATTACAGAGGGAAGGCTACACAACCTCGATGCCTATGTTAAAAATCTTCTCGACCAGCCAGCACGCATTTCGAAATGCCACCTGGTGAAGAAGTTCTTTGCTCCACGCGAAGGAGACTATGAGCTCACTCCAAATTCTGCCGAGGGGGAAATGCGACTTTCACAAGGCTCACAACCGTCCGCTGAATCCCCTGGAAATGGCGGCTCCCGAACCAACCTGAACGGTAATACCTATACCGGATTCTCCGCCACATCTCGACAATTGAGCAACTCGCAACAGGGTGCAAGCAATCAGCCACAAGGTCAACAGCAACAGCAAGCCGTGAAGAAACTTAAAATGTATTACAATGGCGATCTTATCGCTATACGTGTACCGCCCGAAGTTGATTACCAGCAGCTCTGTGACAAGATTCGGGATCGACTCAAACTCAGCCCTGATAATCAATTGCAACTATTCTATAAAGACGAGCCAACAGGAAACAAACTTAATTTAATGAGCGACAATGACCTCGACTTTGCTCTTCGGCGGCATGAGAAACTCGTTCTCTACGTTGAAGTTGTATAAGATATGTTATCACGAGTCTGCTCGCATCCTGATTTCTAAGCCTCACTCACACACACCAAAAAAAGAGGGAAAAAAAAAACTAGACCACAAGAGCTCAAAACATGTTTGCCTCACCTTTTCACCTCTTTTTGGGTATATGATTAGCAGCTGGAAGACGGATATATTTGCGACACTGTACCAACCACTAGTTTTTATGCAGCTCCCGCCCACTTCTCTTCAAGGGGGAAGCATTTGACTCTTTTTGTTCCCGTCGACAAAATTTCTTTACTAGCATGCAAGCCTTCATACAGTTAGTAAGGTCCTGGGGAGACTTGCATGTTGAACTCATTGTAAAGGGATTTTGCGTGGATCCTGTTTGACGACTGTGGAGGAAATTAGCATTTTTGACTTGTCCGATTCTATTTAAATAGGGGACCTCTGGTCGGGGGACGGCGTTCCGGAAGCTGATTTGACGAATTGTTGCTTTTTGCTACTAGGAATATGGCGACTTGATACCTTGACGAGGTTGGATGCCTGATGAGCAGAGTAGTGGGGAGAGCCCATACACGGAAAGGAAGACGGCGTGGAGAAGGCGAAGACGATGACTCAGTCGGTGAATTGAGTTGAGCATGAGCATGAGAAACGAAGTAAATGGAAACGATTCCAGTTGCGCGGCTTGAACTGGTAAGGGCGGCACTTTGATACACTACAGATTAAGTCGCAGATAGGATGGCCTAATGACTGTACATACCAGCAAACGACACGGCCGTGACTATTAATGCGTGTCGAGTGATTTGTTTCCGAAGTCATGCGTTCTTTAGCAAGTGGCCTGATGCGAAAGTGAGGTTTTCTATCTTTATGATTCCCGTTCTATGGTGTCTACCTACACTTCATGAATAGAGGATGACAGGTTCAAAAATTACACTAAACAATACCATGTCAGCAGTCCCAACGCCTCATAATGCCAACCCATGAACATATGCCAATTGTAGACAAAACCACCCATTATACAACAGACGGCAGAAGCAGATCCGGTTTTATTCCAACTTTGCCATCAAGTTTTGCCGAATCTTGAAGTTGACTACTCCCCCAACACCGAAAGCCGGAACAATGCGACACACTCTGGCCGCGGAGCTAATAAGCCAATTGCATCGAACAATTTCAAAGCGATCACGCCATGAAATGGCAGGAGACCGGCCAGGCCGATTGTATAGATCTAAACCGAGGAGGTGCAGGGGCGTAGAAAGGAACTGCACGGCCGCAGGGGCGAAGAATTGCGCGGCAGTTTGACCCGAAAAGTGCTTCTTGAATTCGACGGATAAACGTGAATCTATATACGGCGCAAGAAGGGGAGGGATATTGAACGAGGCGAATATTGTCAAGCAGTCGCGCAGGGTAAACAGTGCATAGGAAGGCCAGGGTACTGCGCGGGGAGCGCCCACGGGGCCAAACATGCGGACAAACGAGCGGTCTTTGTACATGCATAAGCCGACGTTGGCGGCCGATGAGGCGGCAAATTTGCCTGCACCGGAGGAGATGGTTGTAGCGGGTTTATTGGTGGCGGTAGAGGTAGCCGTGTCGAGTGCGTTGGCTGTGAAATACGTACCGCCGTACAAAATGAAGATGAGCGCACAAGGCCGAGAGAAGAGCGCGGGTCCGGGTCGTAGAAGGAAATTTCGAACGGAGGAACGAATCGAGTCGATGAGAGAACTGCGTCCGGAAGCATTCTCCATGATGGATCTGATTGGCATGTTAGAGCATGGTATGAGGTGGAAGGATTGGTAGATAGATTTCCCGAAAATCGTACCGATCAATGATGGAAATGACTGGCGCAACCAAAACACCAGCGCACGCAGCACCGGCAGCATCAGCAGCCAGTCTCCATCCCAAGTTCTTCGTGTTCCACCTTTGTGTTGATTCAGTAGCATGTTCCAAGGCTGGTGTGGCTGTCGCCAATTCAGATTCATTGGTGACCTTCATGACGACAAAAGCCCCCCTAGCAGCTAACACAGATACAAAGGCACCACGAAGCGACTGGAAATTTGAACAGAAGCTAAGCTCGACAAGGCCGGTCCAGGTGAGGTTCCTTTTTATTGCAGCAGCTTCTTCTTCGAGAGTTTTGTTGGAATAACGATTGCCGCAGACGCATTGCGACTCTTGGGAATCCTTTTATCGTGGAATCGCTTCAAGGTCTGGTTTGGCAAAGATGATGAGGCAGAGAGGCCCGTCGCGGCTTTCGTAATGCCCAGCCCGGTAGAGGATGATGTGCTCAGCCCCTCAGGCACAGCCGCGGAAGTCCCCCACAGTACGGTGTGCTTTGAAGCGAGTTGTCTAGAGATGAACAGAAAGAAATACCGTGCCAAAAGTGCCCCGAGTATTGACGGGGGACCACTGTCGAAGGAGATTCAGAATGCTGGCCAGGCCGGGCGGCCAGTCAGCCGGGTTCCCCGAAATCGGAGACGAGACATGGATGGCACTCCGACATGCCATGGCAGAAGCAAGGGTTCTATGCATAAACGAGAGTGCGGGTAGTCGCGGCCCGGGGTGATGGCGTTACAGCAACCCGTGCTGCCGTTTCAGCACTCGACGGTAGCAGCTAGGTTTTGGAGATAACTGTGGATGGACAACCCTTTTGAGACCAGTGTTAAAGTTGGACCAACATTGAGTGATGTCGAGATGTCCAACGGGTTGACATAAAGTCCGAGACAGCATACCTTGCCTTCCACTGTACATAGTCCAACTCACATGCAGGCCCATGGAGTCTGGTAGTGATTGACTCTAGGTGTTATCGCCAACACGTGCAGTCTGCGGTTGCTCCCATTGCTCTTTCCTTGATGCCCCAAGTGTCCGACATCTCCTTTTCAATGTTCAAATTTTTTTCAATGTCATGTCTGAGCTTGTTCTGCGGCATCAACTAAAGCTGCGCATGGGCAACATTGGCCTTTGCCTTCTGTACCTCAAAATCCGAACTTCTCAACCAGGCCGCGTGTGAGCCAACGCGTACACCAAGCTATGCGTGCCTACCTACTAGGCACCTAGGTAGGTAGTAGCTACTAACCCAGGTATGTACGTAATGTTCCCCTTCTAGACCTGGTCCGCCATTGATTTCTTATATGATTGCGCAAGCTACCCAATACTTACTCAAGTACCTACCTACCTAGGTAGGTACCTAGGTAGGTAGGTTTCTGCACCGTCACGGTAAAATACATGTGCATGATATACTCGGATGCACCATACGTTCCCCGCCTAGTGGCAACTTACACCTCTTGATAGAATAAGTTACGACGTCCACTGCACTCCGCTTCAGCCTTACATCACCTCTCTCATACATGAATGGGATTGAATCGAAACAATCACCTATCATAAACTCTATCGAAACACAGAGGCAGTGACCATGGTTCGTGTTCAAAAGCTGACAGCAGAAACTCTCCTCGGAGCTCCTAGGAGGAGTGCCGCGATTCCGAATCACGATGGCATGCTGGCCCTCTATACGATTTCCACCCACAAGTTCGGTGACAAAACTGTGAAACAAGTCCGTGTTATGGACTTACAAAGCCGTCAGTCATCCCAAATATCAGATGATGATAAAGTTCACGATGCCGTTTGGGTCCCTGGCACCAATGATATTTTGCTTCTTAAGTCTGGAGACAAGGGCCGAACGAAAGCCATTATGGCTATGGAAAAAGATGGATCTTGGGAACACATCCACATCGCCGAGTTCAATGGACCAATTGGAAATCTTAAACTGAAGAAACTCGATGACGGATCTGTCGTATTCATGGTTACTGGTCAAGTTGATAATGATGGTCTTCTGTACAACGAAGAGGCTCACCAGAAACTCTCCACTGGCCGCATCTTTGACGGGGCGCGTGTTCGATCTGTGAGTTCAAGAGCCGGATGACAGCATGTTTCGTTCGCCAACTTTTTTTTCTAATGTGCATCATAGTGGACCTCATTGCAGAATGAACAGCCCTATAGCTTGTGGTACAATACGCTGCAACAGGATTCGTCTGGCAAATGGAAGTTTGCAGGTCATCTCCTCAACCTAGTCAACAATCGTGGACTAGATGCACCTGGAGGAATGCTGGACGTTGGAGATCCTCTGTCAAGCTTTGATATTTCTCATCGAGGCGCCGTCTTTATTGCACAAGACCGAACAGTCCTGGATCCTGGGGAATTTGCTGTAAGCTCGGCATATTTTGTGCCTGTTGATTCCTTTAGCCTACCACCGACCGGACGACCCAAGCCAATACAGTTGCCATCAGGTGTTAATGAGTGCATCATGTCTAACATTCGGTTTTCCCCCGATGGTGCAATGATTGGTTTTCTTTATGTTCCACGTGGGGACGAATATGGCTCTCGCTTGCTTTTAGCATCGACGAATTCACTCGATGCCTTCGATGTCTTCAGTCTTGTCACGCCGACGTGGGGTGGCGGCGACGAAGAACACGATCCACCCAAAGGGTTCGAGTTCGCTGGTGACTCTGAAAACATCATCATGACAAGTGCCAAATGTGGTCGAACTATTCTATCGAAGCTCAGACTCGCAGATGGGGAGATGCCGCACATTTTTTTCAAGCATGGTAGTGCATCCGCGTATTATCCACTCAAAGACGATAAATGGGACGAAGTTCTGGTTTCCAGCTCCAGCTTCATAGACAGTAGCCTCTGGCAAGTTGTGAATGTCTCCGAGGCCGCCGTTGCCAAAACCCTTTCATCAGCAACTAGTGAGGGTAAAAAGTTCAGGCTATCCCCAGACATGGTCACAGAGTTCTGGTATGAGGGAGCGGATGATGTATGTGTTCACTGTTTCATGTTGCGACCCAACGATTTCGATGAAAACGAGAAATATCCGTGGGTATTGATGCCACACGGTGGTCCGATATCTTCTTGGGATGACGCTTGGAGCACCAGGGTGAGTCGTATTCCTAAACTTCTGTTTTATCCGCAAAATTCACACTGACTGGGTGGTGAATGGAGTGGAACATTGCTGCCTGGGCAGAACAGGGATACGTAATAGTTTGTCCCAACATCACAGGAAGCGTGGGCTATGGTCTTGAGTTTGCAAGAAGTATGACATGGCTCATCCTGGTGCTACCCGACGCTCGCTAATTTGGCCTAATCTAGGGATCAATGGCGAATGGGGTGGTCGAACATTTCAGGATCTCTTGAATCTTATAAATTATCTGGAAAAGCTGCCTTATCTTGACCAGGATAAAGCAGTGCTTGCCGGAGCCAGCTACGGTGGCTACATGGTTAGCTGGATGCTAGGACATGAGATCATCAACAAGGTATTAGCAACCACATGCTATTTTGCCGATGTGTGTGACTAATATATCTCTTGCAAATAGTTCTGCTGTGCGATCTGGCATGACGGAATCTTCAACCTTCCTTCGTTCTTTTTGCAGACAGACGCATTGTATGAGGGCGGAAATTTTGAAGGCGCTCTATATCCTTGGCAACGGCCCGTGGCTTTCGAACGCTTTAACCCTGCTCGGCCTGAGTTGTTGCGCAACTGGAGAAATGCGCCGCCGACTCTCGTTATTCACAGCGAGAAAGATTATCGATGTCCTATTACTGAGGGCATTGCGACTTACAACACCTTGAAGGGAAATGGCGTACCAAGTCGGTTGTTGATCTTTCCAAACGAGGGACACTGGGTGCTTGATCCAGAAAACGCTCTTGTCTGTCACAACACGGTCTGGGATTGGGTCAAGAGATGTGTGAATGGTGATATTAGGAGAGGAGACACGAAATGGTAAACCCAGTGAATATGGAACAGCATGTAAATTCGGGCAATAGTTGGTCCTCGGCCGTCGTCATTTTGATCTGTTTGTTCAGGTAACAGAGTTTTTTTTTTTACTTGGATAAGGGTAGCACATGGACGACATGCCTCGTAGGCACGGATGACATCCTGTATAATCATGCTCTATATGTGTGATTACAGATGCTCAGCTAGCCAAGGATTGTACAGATTCTGCTCTTATACTCGTGAGAGTGGAGTTAGGTAAGGGGTTAAATCTACAATCTGCGATAAGTCGATGGTGGAAATTTGTCTCGAACTCTCAAAACCAAAGGCCAAAACTACACAGATCCAGACACGTCCTGTATGTTCATTCCACGCCCACTCGACCAAAGCAGAAGCTCGGAACATTAAACAAATGGCTTACTCAAGGAGAACATGGACATTCGAAAGGAAGGATCCATGCCATAAGGGAGATTTGGATGTCATCTTCGGCGACGAGGAAAGCGCATTTGTTGATAAATATCACGCATCTGGCCATACATCAAACCCAAGCGCAAAGCAAGTTTGCGGCAAGTTACGTCACACAAACGCCAACAGACATATATGCCGAAATGAGAAATTGCTTGGAATACCTCCTTGATCATAGAAATGACCTTTTTTCTGAAAACCCAGCAGCAAAGATGCCTACCGTCAACGTCGGCCGCCACAGTCCTCGGCAATCCTCCAGACACCACTCCTCTTACACAAGCCTAAATACGGGCTGGTCTACGCCGCACGGTGCGCCACCCAGGCTACTTTTGCCCCGTCATCAATAGTTTTTCTATTCTCAGGGACGAAATTGGCGTCGTGGTAAGACATGTGTTTCTCGTTGGCGGTAAAACCGTCACGGAGACCTGTACGAAGCACGCGCCGAATAGGGTCTGGGTGCATTTTTGTGATGAATGATTGGTCCGAAGCCCAGAATATCACAAGTCTGGGTCAGCATGGGCACATGTAGACGACTTATACCATTTCGTGGCACTCTCTGGCGATTGGAGGGTGTTGCGGAGGAAAGTGAGATGTTTCAAGAGGAGGGGGCAAAGAATCAATATTTAAGTTGCCGCGAGGCGCGAGGGTGAATTTCATTACTAATGAGTACTTGAGTACCCCGGAGCGCGCCAAGGGATTTCTGGTGACTGTCCTCTGGCTATCATCTATTGAGTAAAAAATTCTGATTAGCTGTCTTGTGATACATGAGACTTCTAATACCTGGTGATAATTTAGGACCTGTCTTGTAATAGTTATGCTGTCACCAGAACCAGGGGCCGCGCGCGTAGTAGGGTAGGTACCTATGAATGTCGTGGCGACACTCATGCGTACCGGCAAAAGCAACCGGTTGATGTACACGAAAAACTACCCAAAAAAAAAAAAAAAAGGCGTGGCCACGCCACCAGACGGTATTTTACGTGTTGCAACCAACGATATACCGTGCGACAGTTGACACTTTACACCAGACTCTAGACCATGACCCATGTGGCGCCTGCCTGCCCCCTGGTTCCACAGGCAATTAAAACGGCGGGAGCGACCAGACGCATTGGCCAGTGCCATGACCTTGTGCAGAGATCAATTGATATCATAATACTGTACCAGACAGACATCGCGGTACCAGACTGCGTAGTTCGGCAGTGGATTCTACGGTTCTACCCCGTGCCCGGCCACCATCTCGTCGTCTTGCTCGCCTGTATTCTCTCCGTCGTCCCATTCCCATTGAGATATTCGGGTACATTATATTCTATTCTATTGTGCCGCCCACAGCTGATAGGATGCCCATCCGGCTGAGGATGCGGCCGCAGCCCATTCGGGACCTCAGCCCCTTGTCTGCGAGATATGACTTTGATATGCCAGAAATTGCCGAGGACGACTCATTTCGCGATGTGGTCAAGAAGCTTTCCCTGTTGGTACTTGTGCTCGCTGCAGTCCTCCCCTCGGCTCTGTGCTAATTCGCTGCTCGTACATTCAGCTACTTTACAGATGTCATCGAGCTGCCGAGCACATTTGAGCAGCTAAGGACGACTGAGGCTGGAAACTGTGTTCGTGTCTTGGTTGACCACCTCAGTCAGAACTGCACCAACCCTGCCATTGTGAATGCCCTGCTGTGAGTATCCGCATATGGCCTCGCCTTTGTCTTCGTCTTCGTCTCCACGGCATTTGAATCGGACTAATAAACTCTCGCATAACAGCGCTCTCAAATGGCACTATGCTGCTTCAAATGAACACCTGAGTCTTAGAGAGACTCGCTCGTTTGCTTGTGAGATTACGGCGTGGCGATTTCTCACCAGACTTAGCGAAAGACAGGCAGTCGACTTTTGCCTTCACGAGATACCGGTGGCCCCGGAGCACGAACACCAATCGCAACAGCCGAGCCGTGATGAAGAGGCTGGAGAGACCTCTCCTCTCCTCATTCGTAGAAACTCTTCTGAGGAGGAGTTGCCAGCCATCGTTGTTGGAAGCGCCAGGGAGCGGACAAAGATGCTAAGCTCCCTTTCACGCCTGACACATCTGAGCGACGATAGTGACGACGAGGCAGACCCAACAGCTGCCTTTAAGGGCTTGAATGCCCTGGAGATTGCCGCAATTGCCAACGCAAAACGTTTTCTCAGTCAACATGTAGTCCAAAAGATCATCACTGGCATTTGGAACGGCGATATTATATTTTGGGACACTCTTTCGGTCAACTCTGTGAAAAAACCGCGATATTACACTCCCCGCACCTCAGATCCCTTCTCACGCCTCCGTGTGCCCAAGTACCTCAAGACATGGGAAGTTCTCTTCTTTGTTGTCTTTCTGTGTCTGTACTACTCGGTTCTCATCACCCGTGACGACACACGTATCACAGTGACAGAAATATTTCTTTTTATTTGGATAGCAGCCTTCTTCTACGATGAACTGAGTGAATGGATCGATGCCGGCTCAATCTTCTACGCGACAGACATATGGAACGTGTTTGACATGATCATGATCCTGATTGGATTTCTATTTGCTGGCCTTAGTATGGTTTTGGATCTATGATTGAATGAGTATTGATTGCCCTTGCTGACCATCAATTTAGGAGTCATGGGAATTGCCAAACATGATACTACGATGAACGAGATGGCCTTCAATGTTTTGTCTCTCGAGGCTCTTTTTATGATGCCACGAATCTGTTCTATTTTGAGCTTGAGCCCATATTGGGGAACTTTGATACCTTGCCTGAAAGAAATGGGGAAGGACTTTGTGAAGTTTATGGTATTGGTTGTCATTGTTTACTTTGGCTTCCTGACCACCTTTTCCCTTATTGGCCGTGATGCCTTCAGCTTTGGTCGAATGACAGGCATTTTGACAAAAATCTTCTTCGGATCAAGCTACGTTGGATTCGACATCATGGATCAGATTGACCCAATTTTTGGGCCGCCTCTCATGATTATTTTTATTACTCTAACGTCTATTCTCTTGCAGGGGTCCCTTACTGGTATGCTCTCGAACAGCTTTTCTCGTGTCATCACGCAGGCAAGAGAAGAGTACCTCTATGTGTACAGTGTTTATGTGCTGGAGGCATCAACTAGTAATCGGCTTACTCATTTCTACCCACCATTCAATCTGATTGCCCTGGTGATATTTCGGCCATTGCGATTCATCCTTCCTAGAGTCGGCAAATTCCGTGCAGGACGAATCGTCCTTCTCCGCGCCACACATTTACCGATTGTTGGAGTAATCAGGCTGTACGAGTACATCCGACGAAACTCGCAAGATGACGAGTACGCCGGCTTCAGGGGACCGCGTGAGTCATGGAAAAGTAGTCGGCCTACAATGCACAAAAGGCCGTCGTCTGGTTATAGTAGGCAACAAGTTTCGCTATCGCAAGAGTCAACTCTTCTAAAACCTGAAGGGAAAAGACGGGACGGGGATGACATGGAAGAGCCCAAGGGTGTGGAGGGCCAGGTTGCTGAACTGCACCAGAAGATTGACCAGCTTACGTCCCTAGTTATCGCCATGCAGGAGACTACCAAACCTGCTGGTGACAAGACTCCGCATGCGGGTACTTGAGCCTGTTGTCGTCCTGGCTGGAACGAGAGGACTCTGCAACGAGAGGACTGTGGCACAGAGGTTGTATGGTTGGCAGGCAAAGGAGCCTTGGGGGAGGGTATAATTTGAATGGCGTTGAATGGTTCCTTCCTTCGTTTACATTGCCGCGGTTGTCTCGTTCGTTCTGCACCACACTTGGGTTGCTCGTTTTTGGCAGGGAGGCTATGCTACTTGGTCGTTTTCTTTGTTTGCCCTATTTTCTTTTTGCAGAGCTGTTTGTGGAAGCGTGCCAACTTGTATAATACACAATCATTCACAATTGCCTGCATCAATCACCTGGACTGTGTGGCTGCAAGCCTATGTGCTCGTGGGGATTCGTGGTGACACTAAGATGGCTACGAACTGCGATATCAAGCGCGGGCTGTATCAACGCCTCTATTCGAAGCTACTCATAAAGTAGACTTATAAAGTAGCTCAAGAGTCAAGGTTATTTGGCTGTATGGCTAACCTAGTCAATAATAAACATGGCTCTTCCGTTCCTATATAAGGCGATTATTTCGGGACCAAGACGGCAATCAAACATCTTTGGAACATGTCGTGAGAGTCGAGTTCTAGTTGGAAGTCAGGGCGCAACTCGAGGATACAGCTATTACACTTCTTCCACGGACCAAACGTACTTTGGATGAAAAGCGAGATACAGCATCCCCCCAACATGAGCTAAACAACCCTACGATCAATACGAGCATCGCAATGAAGTCAGTGGGGCTTTTCTGTGTAGATTTCGTCACCAGGGAATCTGCTAGATGGGTAACTACATGTCAGAGTATAAGCGTCAATGTTTTCCCCTGCTAAGCAAAGCCGCCGTTGGACAACGGGTCAAGGTACAATACACGGCTACCTACCCCCGATGCGAAGAAATCAATGACCAATAGCTCTACCTGGTTCTTCTCGACTTACCATCCCAACCCGCCGCGTGAATGCGTCGGTGGGCATCACGCACGGCCAGGAGGTCCCATAGGGCTGGCGTACGTCTGGCGACAGCACGGCGCCTCACGGCCCGCATCATTCATGAGGCTGGCCATGATAGGATTCTTACGGCTGGGCCACATGGAGGAAGTGCAGAATGTGTGTAGGTAAGTCAATATAACATGGTTTGTTAACTCCTATCCCTTGGTCCTCGATGCGAATCACCGATGGCCCCTCTGTAGGACCTTGGTCATTCCAGCTCTCGTAGAATTAACCAACCACCACCGACGTGCAGTGTCAGTTGCAACATTTAAAACTACAGACAAGGCCGAGATGAATGGTCTGTATACAACCAAGCTGCGAATGCGGCGCCACGTTGATTAGCGCCATTGATTCGGCTGGGCTCCGTGATGACGGACGGTTGTCTGACGCTGGCCAAGGCTTGACAGGAGATGAATTCTGGTGGCGCGTCCTACGGTAAGGCCAACGGTGCTTGAACCAGGTTAGGTATCTGGCTATCGCACTCTACACTGTAATATGCTTGCTAGTAGACAAACCCTGCCACGGGCTGTATAATAGCCTTGGTAGTCTATGCGATTATGCTCTGTGGATGCTTCCAAGTTGCAACCAAGCCCCTTTGTGACGCAGCTGAGACTGGTCTGGTGTATTTCTATATCCAAACCTTTGTGCAAGAGGGCAACCTAAGAAACATATATCTATATAGTGCCCAAGTTCAACAAAGGAGTGTTTTCGGTATGCGCAGGAATACGACGATATACCGATAGTCTGTATTAGAACCCATAGGTTTTTCAAGACCCAGCACTGGTGTATCTAGGATAATCATGGCGATTACAGCGCCGTCCTTGGGACCAACCACCACCTCGTCCTCGGCTACCTCCACGACAACATGTACCACCGCCGTTGCAGGAAAATACGGGCATGTGCCTCCCGACTCTTGCAACTCAAACTATGAATACACCCGAGCTTTGGTGGAACCATGGCCTTTGCCGTTCTCTTCGGCCTCTCGACTGCGGTCCAGGTTCAGGCAATGGTCTTGAAAAAGGTCTGTTCCATGTTGCAATACCTTGGACGTGGCGCGCAGGCGTGTTAACACTATGCCCGGGATAGACATTTGCGTGGGTTCTCTTGATGGGGGGCGCCTGGGAAACAGCCGCATTTGCTATTCGAACCGTCGGCGCTCACGACCAGCAGCAACTGCAGTTTGTTATTTGGGGCCAGCTGCTTTTTCTCCTGGCGCCGCTATGTAGGTAGCCTTGTTGTCTGTCCCTCCCTCACATCTGTCCTGCGTCGAAGAGAAAATGGAAAATGAAAATGAAAATGGCACACCAAAACTGTTCAGGGATCAACGCCTTCGCCTACATTACGGTTGCTCGGATGGTATACTTGGGCTTGCCTCAGAAGAAGATCTGGGGCATCAGAGCCACCAGCTCACATTGATATTCGTATGGCTAGATATCGTCTGCTTTCTAGTTCAAGGTGGAGGTGGAAGCATGCTTTACGGTGATTCCAGTGCCGGAGTGAAGAATATTGGCATCAAGATGTACACGGCGGGCATTGGACTGCAGCTCGGGCATGTCGTCATATTCACAGGCATGACATTGTTCTTTTACTGGAAGATGCGTCGGGTTACGGGCCGTCATGTACGAAGAATGGGATGGCTGATCTGGACAATGCTTCTCGTGCTGGCTATGATTGTGGCGGGTAGCTTTGTAGTTTTGGTTCCAGGAAATGAGCGTGCTGACGGAATTGAGCTGTCGCAGATGCGCATCATTTTCCGACTGGTCGAATTTGGTCCAGGCCTCAACCACTACAGCCCAATGTTGGGCAACGAAACATACCCCTTTATGCTGGATGCGTTCCCGATGCTGGTCGCATTTGTAGCTCTCAGTGTCATGCATCCGGGATACGTGTTGCGGGGTCCTGATGGCGATTTCCCTCGATTAACGCGAGCGGAAAAGAAGGCGATTAGGCAGCAGAAGAAGGAGGAAGAGAAACGAACAAAGGAAGGTTGCAAAGAGGGGACAGTCTGCAGGCAAGCACATGAATACTGAGAATACTGTACTGGAGGATACTTGGGGGAGGGCGAACAGCGAGAGCGATTGGCCGATACAAGAGCGGCAGCGAGTCGACTGGTCGAGAGCACATAAAGTGTGAGGATGGCATGTCTGGTTTGTAATCTTGGTCTGAGTCGGGCGGCGTTGCCAAAGGATGGTTGCGGTTTGGTGGTCAAGGACAGATGTCCCCGCACAAAGTGACAAGACGTGGCGCATAGCCACAATGCCATTCAAGCCAAGATTCTAAGAAAAGCATCGGGAACCTGGTTGACACCTGGACTGCGCCACAAAAAGCTTGTTTGGTGGTCTTGGTGGCGATGCTCATGTCAAGTCCATGCCAACTCATCGACACGTACGGAGTACACATGGGGTATTGGCATTGTTGCATGCAATGGCATATCGGCAGAATGGAATCCGAACAACTTTGGAACACAGTGTCGAACCCGTTGCAGAATGCAGCCGGCCACTTCTGCAATGCAAGGCCCGCGCCATCTTGGGGGAACCGATTGGACTGCATCGTCTGCAGCCGTGGCTGGATTCAGCATGAGCTGGACAGGAAAGCTGACGCTGTGTTGTCACAGGAACCACAGGGGGAGCTGGGGAGGAAATGGACATCGTTGCTGAGGCCATTGAAGCGGGTTTCCACCCCGAGCTCGAGACGGAATACTCCGTAGTTGTGCCGAGTATTGTGTTGGGTAACTGATGACTTGTTAGACTCTGCTTAATTCTGTCGAGGATGCAAGCCCTGTTTATTTTCTTGTGTGTTTTTTTTTCCCGGTGTCTATTGCGTGACATTCCACATTTCGCATTCCTTGTTTCCCTTTTGCGTCCGTGACAATATTGTGATATTTTTGGCCCCATGCACAGACCGGCTTTCAATGACTGGGGACAAAGGGGAGCAATTGATGACGGATGAGCAGAGACCAACAGGACTAACTTGGAAGAGGTAAACTTGCCGCCAACCCCCAGGCTGCGTCAGAGCATGGAACATGCAATATTCGAGCGCAGCCTGCCCAGAATTATACTCCGGCATCACAAGATGCAGCCAGAGGGCCCAGCTAGAGCCCAGCCATCACATATTTATTACTGGCACTGGGTCGACTTGGAAAGAGTGGTAGGCGGCCAGGGACTCGTATCCCCCTTGCCCCCTCGTCCACCAACACATCCAGCACCTGGCAACGATGCCGTGCCACACACCATCCTGGGAAGCCAACCGAAAGCACCTCGACCCGGGGCAGGGACAAAGAAGCGCCCTTTGGAGGGCTTGGCGAATAGTAGTACCTCAAGTGCTGGAACTGCTGGGCAGTCGGTGCCGAGTGGAACATTGAGGCTGATGGCGCCCCAGGCAACGCAGGAAAAAGCATGCAATCAAGGAAAGAATTCTTGCAGCTAACTAACTTATTACCCTGTTATAGTAGGTCATGCTGTTGGCATGCCGGTGGCTCTTGCCAAGCGATATGGATGATACGTGCCGAGTACCAGCCTATTGTAACATGTTCTCCGTACCGGTCGACATCTTGGTCGGGGCGGCCTGGCGTTTTGGAAACTCATGTTTCCTCCATCCCGGTCTTTATTACCTTGTGCACGCCCCCAGCCCATTGTTTCCTTCTCGTCGGTTTTTTTGGCTGCTTTTTTGATCTCTCCGTCATCATTCACCCCAGATCGCAGCCTTGCGTCAGCAATGAGCGCTTTGCTGGGTCACGAATCCCCTTCTTGGATATTATTCCACTAGCTCGTTGCGCCGACCTTGTCCGCATCCCATCGCACAGCATTGCACCGCGTTCGCTCAACGGTTCGGAACCCAGGAAAGAAAGCATCGACAAAACAAAATGATTTCAAATCACTTCTTTACGCAGCTGCCGCCGCCTTCGACTTCATTGTTCGTATTTTCCACGTTGTCCAGTTTGGTGGCCGGCAACGTGCTGCCGCGAGAGACCAAAACCGTCGCAGCGCGCGCATTCAACGTCAGGCCATGGCCTCTGGCTACACTAGCTCCCGTATCCCCCCTGGAGCTTTTGCGCCGAGAGTCTAATACTATCTGTGGTTACATAGGAGGTGATCCCGATCTGCCAGCTACATGTTTAGCAGGGTCTCACTGCGCCGCCGATGTCGAGAATGGAGTTATAGGCTGTTGTCCCGATAAAGGACCATGTAATGCTGGAATCTTCACGGGATGCGTCGACCGGAACAGTGGGCCGCAGACGGTGGCTGATCCTTACATATACACATGTCGCGGCAAGAATGTATGTTACAAGAACTTGTTTGAGGGAGGATATTTCCAGTATGGGTGCGGTTCGGCTTCTGCACTGGCGACAACCGTCGTTCTGACTGCATCAGGGAGGATTCCGTTGCACCTTACTACCATCTCGGTTAAACTGACTGCGACGGTTACGCCTCTGTCAAGCCCTACTAGGCTGAGCTCGGAGCCATCTAGGACGTCGGACTCTGGCACGGTTTTGGAGTCGCCCGTGGCTAGTGGCAAACCCCCAGAGCCGTCTGAAACTCACGGCGGTGCTGCACCAAGCAGCAACGGAAGCAAGTCGACGAATACTGGAGCCATCATCGGAGGCGCTATTGGGGGTGTAGCCGCCGTCTGTGCTATTGCCGCTTTAGCTTTCCTCTTGTGGAGGCGAAAGTCGAGCAATGCCCGTAGTGGTCCCGGAAATGAGAAGGATAACAAATACATTCGGTACGTTTCATTACTCATGGCAAAGTCGTCGCAGTACAGCAACAACTAACACGCATGGTAGGTCAATGGCTCCAGCAGCACATCGCGAGTTTGAGCCACTCCCATGCTCGCACGACGCTTCCGAGGCTAGGCTCCACGCTGGTAATCGGAACAGCACCCCTGGGAATAGCACCCCCGGGAATAGGACCCCCGGTATCAGCACCCTGGCTGCAAGCACCTTGGGTAGTGTTAGTGCCGAGAGCGCCCGTTCGGGTAGTCCTCCGGTGGCACCCCACAGTCACGATACCATGGACGCGGTGGCTACGAGAAGTGGGCATCCCGACTGTGATTCTGATCGTGTCCCGCTGACAAGGGAGCTCGACGACTTTTCTCACGGATTCAACTCGGCGTTGGAAGCCATAGAGTCTGACAGCGATGTCGAAGCAAATCGAAATTACATGGCAGCATACCCCGGGCCTCGCAGAGGCGGTGGTGGTGGCGTGCTCTGGCAACAGAACCGGAGACGCAGCAGAAACCTAGCTTGGATGTAATCCAAAGCGAGCCCTCCCTTTTTTTCTAACGAACTTGCTTTTGGGTCCTTTTGCTTGGGTCAAAATAGAACTTGCTAAGCGTGGAGCAGAGGCGTTATCGTGGACGAAAGAGCACTGGACATGACGTTCCACAACATGGTTTTCAAAAAGTCATCACCGACGAGGACATTATATCGGAGTAATTCATCATTCCAATGGTTAGTGTTGGAAATTCGGGTTCTTTGAATCGGGTCGGTATACAGACAGAAGCTTTTTTTGTTGAGGTCCCATTGGGATTTGAGGCTGTTAATTGTATATTTTATAGCAGGTTATTTCCCTATGGGCCTACAGCAGCGAATACACGACCTATTTCATGTCCGTCTTGTCCCCTCACTCGACCCCGTCCTATCCCGAGTCGTGTTTTTGAGGCCATAACTCCATGAAGCAACCATCACATCATGATTGTGGTGCATCCGGGTCGGGACGGTTCTCCCACTTCCTCATGGTCTCCCCTCTTGCGACCAAAGTCATATTCCAAGGTTTGAGTTCCAAAACGGTAATTCTGTTAGCAGAGCCCGGTCTCAACAGAGCACCCGGCACATACAACGACTGCTGCGGCCCGGAAACCCAGTACCGACCCAAATTGAAGCCGTTGATCCAGACGATGCCCCTAGTGCCTCCCTCAATGGTCAAGTACGTGTCCATCTCGGAGTAGAACTGCTCTGGTCGCAGAGGCGGAAGCTTGAATTTGCCCATGTAGTAGATGGGCAGCGATCCCTTTTGGACTGACCCCCCGATGGGCTTCTTCAGAATCGGCGGCTCCTTGCAGGGGATCTGTCGAATCTTCCAGCCGCGGAGGAGGGACGAGCCGACCGTGACGGACCCGTTGATGCCCTTGAACGGATCGTCCATGAGGTTGGTCTCGCCGGACCCCTTGCGCCAGTGGCTTGTGCGCCCGGCGTTTTCGACCAGCAGCTGCAGGGCGTCGCCCGCCTTGAGGGAGAGCGTCACGGCGGCCGGTTGCTCGTAGAAGCTGTCGATGACGCCCTTGCGCCGCCCGTTGACGTAGACGGTGATTCTGTCGCGGGGGCGGTCGCCGGCCTGGAGGGTGCCGTTTGCGGCGCGTCGCACCTTGTGCTCGTACAGGATGAGGCCCCGTCCCTGCTTGAGCTTCTCCATGTACACTGGCATCTTGCGGGTTTTGGTGTGGCTGACGGTGTGGAGGATGGATGCGTAGGGCTCCAGCTTGACGTCGTCGAGGTGCATGAGCGGCAGGTTCACCGGGGGCGAGGGGACGGCGCTCGCGTCCGGGAGGTACTTGAGGATTTCGGCGCGGAGGATGTGGTAGAGAGGCGTGGTGCGGCCGGCCTCGTCGAGCAGAGACCCGTCGTGGTAGCTGCTTGCCCAGGGGATCGTCCTGTTGCCCGTGTACAGGGAGCCGGCGCTGAGGCCGAAGTTTGTGCCGCCGTGGAGCATGTACAGGTTGAGCGAGTTGTTGGCCGACAGGGCCATGTGTAGGTTGCGGAGGTATCTCTCGATGAGCTCGGGGTCGTCGTTGCCCGCGTGGTGTCTTGCCTCGGGGCCCCATTGGAGCGGTTTCGAGATGTGTGCTTCTCCGTCGAGATGGGGGCCCAGCGACGACGTGCCGGCGATGGCTTCGTCTCGGAGGGGGAACCCTCGCGGGCC